ACCTCAAAGGCTCCTCCATCTGGAGCTGGCTCCTTTTCTTGCTTATGGGTTGACAGGCTGGTTTAGGGCTGTGGTGGCAAATCTGCCTTCAGGTCTGATGTCACTGCCACCGGGGTTCTGTGGTAAAGACAAACCATTCAGCACATAGAGTGCAGTTGGTTGGAACAATTATCCGGTGGTTTTGGGGACCAGGATGGGACTGTGCTGGATATTCAAGTTTGGGAAGGACCTGCTTTGTAATGCAGCTTGACCTTTCTGTTCACATCTACAACCAAAGCATCATTTGGCCTTTGCAAGATCATCCTCGGTCTGAGCACACTTCATATTCAGCCTGGGGTTTTTTCCTTCTGGATTTTGCTCCTTCCTGAGAATAGTTGTGAAAAACCCCTGCCCACCATCCATTTAAGAAATAGTAACATTTGGTCCCTAAAACCAACCTTGTGTGGATAGTTGTTCTGGGGCTGGGTGGGTGAGACCCCTGGTTTTGGGGGCCAGTGGAAGCAGTGTTTGTTTTCCTTAGTTTCAAATGTTTGTTTTCCAGAAATTGTGTTGATCAGTAACACCTGAGAGAGCACTAAAACCACCCCTTAAAACTGGTATCACTCTTGTGTTTGTCACTCTAATAACTTGTATGAGGATTTTGACAGAGCAGTTTTTCCTTTGTTTCTCTTAGAGAAGTAACCCAAATTTTAGTATGATTTTTCTCTTACCACATGAATCTGTGAGCTGGTTCTGTTGCTTTCCTGCCTCACAGAGACCTCTGAGAAGAGGAGAAATTGTTTGTGGAGGTACTTCAGGCCTGTCCTGAAGCTGTTCCACCTTTACCCAAAAAGTATTTTCCAATGGTGCATGGACCGAGCCTGCACTGCTCTGGCTGCACAGGGGCATTTACATCCCTCCCACATCACACCCTGAGCATTGGTGAGCCCCTTCTGCTGCTAGCCCAGTGCTTGGGGGCATTTTATCCAAGGATTCTTTGTTACACAAATCATAAACAGTTTCTGGAGCAGAACTTGGGGATTCTTTCTTTTGCTCCCTGCTAAGAGAGTGGGCTCCATGTTAGCCCTCACCTGGCTTTCTTTTTCTCTTTGCCTCCATAAATCTTGCATTTCTGACTGCAGATGTTTCAGCTGGATTTATTCGGGTTTACTCCCAGACTTGGCTTTCTGCATCTGCTGGATGCTGAGCACCCTTGCAGGACTCCCAGTTCCTCTTCTTACCATGTTGAGAAGCCTCAGGGCTTAGCCAGTCTCTGTAATCTTCTGGAGGTCTTGCAGGGCACTTGTTCTTACGAAATTTGGTTTTGTTAATGTCCTGACTTGTGTCCTAGAGCAAACTGAGAGCCCAGCAGGCTCCACAGCTGAGGCGGCATCAGTACCTGTCTCCATCCACGCTCTCAGGAGCTGCTTCACTTACTTGGCTGTGGAGCAGCATCTTTCACCATGTCCTTAGTGGGTCTTTTGTGCTGTCCTGTTCTTAGCCCAAAGTTCAGAAATTTCTGGAATTCTTAGCTAAGGAAGGGTCTGGGTTATAGGTACAAAATTTAAATCCACTGGAAACTTCCTAAGTAGAACTGCACCTGCATAGAGGGGAGAAGGCCAGGTTCTCTGGCTGAGGTTTATGTTGGTGTGATCTCCTTCTGCAGCTCTAACTTGTGCTTTTGTCTTTTGTTTTCTCTCTTTCCCACATAGCTAAATCCAGATGGATCTGTTGATCAGAGCAACTCCTCTCCATCTCCTCTGCCAGCACCTTCCTGCCTTGTCCCAGGCAAGCAGTGTCCAGAGCAGGCATCGCTGGCCCTCCTCACCTGCACTGGTGCACCTGGGCAGAGTAAAAAGAAGAGAGGCTTCTTCTTCAAAGGGAAAAACCTCTTCAAAAAACTTGGGTCCAATAAGAAAAACTAACAAGGGGTTTATTCCATCAGGGCTGCCCGCACAGCCCCAGAGACTGAGTTCAGGAGAAGCCCTCTGCAATAAGATGATTATTTTCGTAGGGAAGATGTGTTGACTAGAGAAAACTCTGAAGGGTGCAGGAGCTGAGAGCCCCTGGGGAAAAAGTGGCTCTGGGGTGTGAGGGCTCAGCTCTGGGATCCAGCATGGCCTACTCCATGTAGCCCTCAGTGTACTGGTTCCCTGTAAATATTTTAATTTAAGGATTATATTCTGGCTGTAAGTTAGCTAACTGGCTTTTCCCAGCAAAACCCTGGCCCCTTAGGAGAGATCCCTTGTATTCCACACCCTGGTATTTCTCTGCTCCAAAGGAGGTTGTGTCAACTCCTTCACTTGCTGCAAAGAAAATCTGCACTTTTCTGTTCCTGTGACTCCCCTTCGCTGTCTCTGGGCTGATGAGTGAGTTCTTATTTGTACTGTAACCCTGTAAATATGCAGCTGTGCCTCGGAGCATCCCACACTGCCTCAGTCAGCTTCCAGCACGAGGATCCCCGGAGGGGAAGGAGCGATGCCCTGGTGGGGGTGGGCTGCTGCCAGCTGCTCCTGCCTGGTTCCCCTTGATCACACACTGGCTGGGGACTCCGCCTTATTATTTATTTATCAATTTATTTATCAATTGATTTATTTATCTACCTATTTATTTATTTATTTGTCTGTCTGCCTCGCTCCACGGTTCTGTTCAGCTGTGTCTGAGCTGCTCCTGAGCCAGAGTGTTGGGAGAGCAGGGCTGGGGCTGGGCAGCTCACACTGTTCCTGTAGATGTGTTCCTGCAGTTGAGACACAGCCCTGTCCAAGCACAGAGGGGTTTATATGCCATGGTTTCTGTCCTTCCGCGTGTTTCTTTCTCTGCATGTTCCAATGGGTCCTTGTTCTGAGCAGGGCAGTTCTGTGAGCTCCGTGAGTGGTGCCAGCACAGCGGCCATGAGTGGTGGTGGTATGGTATGTTTTTATTTAATATCAGATTTTATTATAATAAAGTCTATTTTCACAAAAATACATTTTCCTTAAAAAAGCCGAAGATTCAGTGATGCTTCTTCAAGGGGGTGGGGAAATGATACCAGCCACCTGCACCTTGAGGATGTTCTGCACGTTCTGTGTCCCCTTCTCAGAGGGACAGCTGTGGCTGTGGATGCCCCAGGTGTGGGGTGAGGGCAGGGGCTGGGGTGGCCCCCAGGGAGGGCTGTGGGCATTGGGCTGGCCCCCTGCACTCCCAGCTCCACTGCTGTGTGAGCACTGTGTCAGGTGTGGTCCTGCATCTGGAGCCTCTGGGAATCCAGCCAAGGTGCCAGAAGTCACTCTGGGATTTTGGGGGGGTGGTTCTGCAGGGTTCCCTTGACAGGAGGGACTTGTTTGGGAAGCTGCTGCTCCATAGAGAGAAATATTCCATGAGGATCTTGATACCACAGTAAGGCATCATGTCCTGTGGTGGATGTGAGTCAGGGCAAGGACAGACCAAAGACTTTGGATGATGTGCTGCAGCTCTGCTGGAGTTTCCATGGCATCTGGAGCAGCCTCAGTGATGAAACACATCAGCAACCCAGAGCTTTATCTTCAGCCTGTCCTCTCGTGGAGGAAGTCGTTGCTGTTTTAACTGAATTTACCAACTGGCGTTTCTTAAGTGAATTGTTGAAGGTCTTTTGAAAGAAACTGTCATTGGTTTTATCAGTTCCTCAGGGCATGAACTGAAGAACAAAACCTTTAGGAAGAAAAGCAGCTGCTGGAATATTCTGGGGTGTGCCCAGAGCCAGAGGCCCCCCCAAGGCAGTGCCTGCCTGGCTCCCTTGCTGCTGGTGCTCCCATCCTCCCTGGCCACCTGAGCCCCTGGGACCATGAGGTGTGTGTTGTGTCTCTAACTCCTGTAAATTTTCTGTGATAGACTCAGACCCATCATTCAGCAAAGTCTCCCTAGTTCAGCTGGTTCCCAACACCAGACAGGCTGGACAGCAAAGCTTCAGAGAAGTCTCCATGAAAAAGATTTAACAGCTTCAAGCTGTTAGAGCTAAACCTGAAAGGCTACAAGAAACAAACAAAAAAATAAATGGTAAAATAAAGATATAATCCAGATGTTCTGCTCTGCATCCTCTGCTTCTAATCACTGTGCCACAGCCCAGGTGTGGATGGCACCTCTCTGCTTGGAGGAGCTGCTGGTGGCATCAATATATTCCTGTTTCAGTTCACCAGGTGAGCAGCGGGTGCGAGGGCTTGGTGCTCGTGTTGGTGCTCACCAGAAGGCTCAGCCAGGCCCGTGGCCTTTCCCATTCACCCTGATCTGGGAGAAGGGTCACAGTCTCCAGGGAAGGTAAACATTCAAGAGACAAAGCATCTCACAAGCCCCCACTTCCATGGTTTCTGAAGCAGTTGGAGCAGCTGCCTCCGGGGGCAGATCTGAAGGCTTTGCTTCGACCTTTAAGAGCGACAGAGGATGAAGAGCAGCACGGGGGAAGGAACCTTGTCCCTGGAAGACACCCCCAGAAGGGCTCAAGACTCTCAAAGCACCGCAAAGGGGTGGCATGTGCAGCTTCAGCACTCCCGGGAAAGCTCCGGTGGAGCAGCCCGCTGCGCATCCAGCCGAGAGCAAAGCAGCCCCGGCGGGGTGGGGGGCGAGGGCGGTGCTGATAACGCCGGGCAGATAAAAGCGGGCCCGGGGGGCCGCGGGCGGGGAGGAGGCGCAGGATCGCAGGTGAGAGCTTTTCTCTTGTGCAGAGTTTGTTTCTCTGCCGGGGGTGGGACTGGGGGGCTGGGTTGGGGCTGAGCTCTGCGGTGCTGCTGTCGCCAGGGGCTCCTCCGCAGGGACCGGGCTTAGCCGGGAATTTCAGGGTGACTTGGAGGTGCTGCTCGGCCCACAGCTCTGGGCTCACTGTGGGAGCCGAGTGCTTGGAGCAGCCTTGGGAAGTAAGTGGGTCAGCTTTGGGAAAAACATCACAAACATCTATGAAATCATCCCGGCTCCTTCTGCTGCCCATGGTAAAGGAACAGGTAGGTAATAACTGAATAAATTACCGTTAAAACACAAATATAAATGCTGTACTTTATAATTATGGGGATAGAGTGATACCCAGCTCATGGTTGGCTTCGCTCTGGTTCTATTGAGGAACACAGTTCACTCAGTGATTTTCGTAGCAACGTTCTAAATATTGAAGTATTATTCCCTCCAAACTTTTGGTGGAACTTTTAACCGAAATATACTCAATCGCAGGCTAATCAGGAATAAAGAGAATACAGTCCTTAAATGTTTTTATGTGACATGACTACTTGCAAGGAGGACTCCTGGAATTTAAAGGCAGAGAAACAGAGGTGCAGAGGACCTGTTGCGCTTTCCTGGCTCCTCCCTCTTCCCCACCAGCTCTTCCTATCTGCATGCTCTGTGTGCTGCAGATTCTGCTCCCTTTGTGTTGCCTCCTGAGTCCCAAGCAGCACATTCCCAGCGGTGCTGGCAGTCTCTGGGACAGGAGGCTGCTCCTTTTCCTCACGGCACTCCCAGGCAGTGCACTCCCTCCTGGAAGGGTTGCATTGGGAAGGGGATGCTCCATGAGCTCTCTTGACATGTGCCATCCTTCACCTTGGCACCGACCTTCCTGATGCATCCACGTGTTTTTTGTCTTCATCACTTATATTTCTTTGCAGGGATGAAGGCAGAAAGCTTCCTGGGGTTGCTGGTGATCCTCAGCCTGTTCCAGGCATCTTCTTCTTACGGTATTGTCCCTCCCTCAGGCTTTGCAGGTCAGGGGATTTTCTGAGTGGGAAAGATAAAGCAATGTCTGGAAGAGCCTGTCATTCAGCAGCACAGCCCTGAAAATGTGCCAGAAGGAGCACAGTTTGTACCTCCTGTGGCACTAATCCTAGCTCTTTCAGGTTTTTACCAGTTCACATCCTGCCTGATTCCTTAAAACTAGATAAAGGAGATCAGTTCCCAGCACTGGTCCATGCCCACAGAACCAGGGTCTTCCTCCCTGTGCCAGCACCTGAGAGAGCTACCAGGGCCTGTGGAGTGTGGGGATGGGGCCGTCACTCCCCCTCTTCCAGCCCTAAATCACTGCTCCAAAACATACAGAGACCTCCACGTCAAATCCTTATGAAAAGCACATGCCTGGCTTTTCATTAGTTTTTAACGGTGGTCCAGGCAATAATTTTTCTCATCAGGATTGTCCAAGAGCTGAGCTCTGGGGTGATCTGGGAAGATATTTAAGAGAAACTGGGGAGATTTGGGAGATATTTATCCTTTTGTGCTATTTTCTGAAGTTTTCCTCTTCCCCAGAAACTGTAAGAAAGTGCTGCTACCCAGAGAAGCCCTCCCTTTCCATGACCCACAACCAGCAGATGATGGAGATGAAATCCGTTTTGGGAGCTTCTCCCAGGGCAGGAAGGGGAGCAGTGAAAATGGCAGGAGGTTGCAGGAGGGACTGGGGAAAGCCGTGGGGAAATTGGGCTGTTTATAGAATCAGAGAGTTCCAGAATGGTTTGGGTTGGAAGAGATCTTTAGAGTTCATCCCATTCCACCCCCTGCCATGGCAGGGACACCTTCCCCTGTCCCAGGAGCTCCAGTCCCACTGTCCAGCCTGGCCTTGGGCACTGCCAGGGATCCAGGGGCAGCCCCAGCTGCTCTGGGCACCTGTGCCAAGGCAGGACAGATGGTGCCTGCACCTCTCACTGTTTGGGGCTGTTTGAAACCTCCACTGATGGAGGGACTCCCTTCATGCCCAAGAGAGACTCTCAGACTCCCCTGAAGAATATATTTATATGCAGATCTCTGGAGAGTGAGCAGCACTTGCCTCCAGCACTGCTGTGTTCAATCGCTGGGTGCTGGAGGCTCAGGGATGCTCCCTGCCGGCAGCCTCACCTCTGCTCCTCCCTTTCCCTGCTCAGATGTGCGGCTGCAGCTGTCGGACACGTCCCTGCTGAGCAGCGTGGCCGAGGCCCGGCAGCTGGTGGATGCCGCCTACAAGCGCACACGGGACAGGTGAGAGCTGTGCTGGGTGTGGAGTGTCCCCTGTCCCCTAGCCCTGTCCCCTGTCCCCGTCCCCCGTCCCTCCCTGCACCGCAGCCTCCCCGGCCTCTCCTGCTCTCCGCAGCGCAGGGACAGCGGGGTGGGGAAACCCGGGAGCACAGTGGGCTGTCATCCAGCTTCTGTCTGCTCACCCTGGTGTTACACCAGTCTGTGGAGTCACCAGGAGCTGTGACCTCCTCCGTGCTGCTCCTCCCACCTTGGTTTTCAGAGAATCACAAAGTGGTTTGGCTTGGAAGGGATCTTAAAGCTCATCTCGTTTCAGCTCCTGCCATGGGCAGGGACATCTTCCACTATCTCAGGTTGCTCCAAGCCCCATCCTGGACACTGGCCTTGGACACTTCCAGGGCTTCTCTGAGCACCCTGTGCCAGAGCCTCCCACCTCCACAGCTGCACCTGATGCTGTTGCTGGGCTTTCTGCACCCTGCAGGGTGCTCTGAGCAGGAGCCCTGAGCTGAGACCAGCACAGGCTCCTGCTCATTTCCAGCGGTTCCCTCCCATGGCTGCAGCGCACAGCTGGATGCTGCAGTCAAGACATTTTGTGGGACGCCCAGCCATCCTTTGGGAGTGTCCAGCTTCCTACCTGTCCTCTGCCAGCAGTCACACTCAGAATCCCCTCCCTGCCCTGGGGACTCCTCCACCTGAGAGGAGGCTCCAGCAGCTTTAGGACTGGGTGGTCTGAAGACATTTGAGGCCTCCGGACAGCGTCAGCTGTTGATGATCTGGATAACAACTGAGCGAGGTTTGGTGCCTCATGGATGTGATTTACCTTCTGCAGATTTGGGATATGCCATGCCTGATGCTCAGGTGTGCCACTGCAGCATCCCTACCCCATCTCAGATTTTGGTTTCTTGTCCCTTGCAGCATAAAGAAGAACCTGCAGAACAACGCCTTGACCCCAGCAGAGCTCCTGAGATATTTCAAGCAGCCAGTGGAGGGAACACGAGTGGCTGCCCGGGCTGCAGATTATCTGCAGACCACCCTAAGCCTGCTCAAAGAGAGGCTGCGGTGGGCTGTGAGGGGAGACTTCAACGTCACAGGTAGGATCCCCCTTTGCTGGGAGGAAGGCAGAGATGGAAGACACAGGGCTTGGTCACTGGAGCTTGGGAGGAGGGAAGAATAGGGGGTTGTGATGGGCTGTGGAAAATCTCTCCCATGTGGCTGCAGTGAAGAAAAGCTGAATTATTTTTCTGCGTTCTTTTTCCATCTTAAATATTATTTGGGGGTTTTTCAGTTAGTGAAAGGGTTCTGTGCACTTCCTGGGTTCCTTCTGCTGTATCAAGGTTCATATTCCAATGTGTCAGATCTTGGAAGGCTTTGGTAGATAGTCTGCTGCTTGAGTAGGGAATGAGCAAACCAGAGATGACTCCCAGCAGCTTGGCCCCAAGGAAGGCAGTTCTTCAGCCAGACCTCAGATAGCACTGAAATCACATCATGGACACTGTCCAAACAGAGAATGGGGCGATGTGAGAGGACAATTCAGTGTGTGTCTGGAGGAACAACAGCTCTGTGAGCTGGAGCCAGGCTCAGCTGCTGAGAGAAGGAGGCAAATCAGGGCCAGTGAGAGGAACAGCTCAGGGACACACAGGGAGGACTCCTGTCATATAAATATAAACTCATGGGGATCATGGAATGGTTTTGGTGGGAGGGAACCTTAAAGCCCATCCAGTGCCACCCCTGCCAAGGGCAGGGACACCTTCCACTATCCCAAGCCCCATCTAGCCTGGCCTCAAACACTTTCCCACCACTACAGTAAAGCACTGGAAGGATAAGACACATCATGGGGTGCTCTGGCTTTGCTCCAGGACAGGATGGGCTGGAAGGCAATGGCAGAACTGGCTGTGCATAGCTCCAGCCTCTCCATCCAGGACTGATGTTCCAGCACCATCACAGAGCCCTGCGAGTGCCACCTGCCTGCCACCTCTCACCCACCCATCCAGTGGCTTTTTAAACCATGCTGTGACCCAGACTGTTGGTGGCAGCAGTGACCAGGAAACCTCCGAGGGACAGGATGTGTAGTGGGAAGCAAGAGCCAAGAAAGGAGCATCTTCCCTATAGAGACAGACTGGAAGATCTGGGGGTCAGCCTGGAGAAGAGCAAGTTCTTCTAGTGCCTAAAAGGGCTTAGGAAAAAAAAAAAAAGAGAGACTTTTTACATGCATAGATAGTGACAGGAAAAGAGGGAATGATTTTAAACTAAAAGAGGAGAGATTTGGATTATATATTAGGAAGAAATTGCTGGCTGGGAGTGTGCTGAGGTTGGCACAGGTTGTCCAGAGAAGCTGTGGCTGCCCCATCCTTGGAAGTGTCCAAGTTTTGGAGCAACTTGGGAAGGTGTCCCTGCCCTTGGCAGGGGATTATGGTCTTTATGGTCTTTAAAGATGGTCTTTAAGGTGTCTCCAACCCAAACCATTCCATGATTCTGTGATTCTGTAAGACTTTTCTTGTTGAACTCTGCCCCTTAGCTCCCTTGCAAAGGGAAATGTGCACAGCAAAACACAATTGCCCCAGTGAGCCCAGCCACAGGATGGTTCTTTTCCAGGCAACTCTGAGCAGGGGTGACACACACTGGGAGCTGCTTCCAGGAGGAAAACTCGTCACAGTCCCTAGGATGGCTGGGACTGCATTTTATGTGGAGATAAAAAGGGAGAGGAGAGGGAGTGCCAATACTAGAAAACCATTCTGCTGCTACATGGGCCTAACATGTGATTATAAATAAGATCTGACCACAGCTTTGCTCATTTTGATGCTTTTCAAACCAGCAAAAACATCTGCTCAAAGAGGATCCTCAGCACACCTTCAAGCAGGAAGATTTAAATGACAGCACATTGTGATTGTGCAGATGATGCTAGGTGCAGGTACAAGGGTACAGAAAAACCTTTTCCTGAGAAAACCCAGCAGGGCCAGTGTGTTCCTGCATGTTTTTTCTCCCTTTTTCCATGCCAGACTTCCTGACTCCAGCTCAGGTGGGGGTGATTTTCAAGGCTACTGGATGTGACCAGCAGGATAAGAAAATAAAGTGTACATCTTCTGGCTACAGAACCATCACTGGCGAGTGCAACAACAGGTGAGAGGCTGTGTCAGCAGGAGGATGGATGGATGGATGGATGGATGGATGGATGGATGGATGGATGGATGGATGGATGGGACAGGAGGAGAGGAAATGGCCTCAAGTCGCACCAGGGCAGGCTCAGGTTGGACATCAAAAGGAATTTCTTCCTGGAAAGGGTGGTCAGGCATTGGAACTGCCCACGGGGGTGGTGGAGTCCCCATTCCTGGGGGTGTCCAAGGAAGGACTGGATGTGTCACTCAGTGATCTGGGCTGCTGGTTATTCTATAAATATAAATTATAAATTATTATAGATAGATAAATAGATAAATTATTCTATAGATGTATGCATCCTCCATGAGTAGAACTAGACCCACTTCCCCAGGGGTGGTCCACACAGGCACCTTCTTTTAGGGTTTCACGCTTGACAATATTTCCTAGTAATGTGAGGAGCTGTTAATTCCAGTCCTGTTTGGAAGGTTCCTGGTGCTGTTCCTGAACCAGCTCTTTGTCAGAACAGGAGGAGCTCCATGTTGAAGACAGATTCCTTGTCTGGCCCTGCCCCTTGGCAGGGTCTCCAAGGGTTTCCTGACCTAAATCCATACTGGGCATGATCTAGCCATCCCCTTGCCCCACAGTGTGTGTGGGAGGAAATCTGGGCATATGGGCTGGGACCTGCACCTCCCATGGCTGGAATGGGAACGTGGGAGACATGGGACACCCCTGAGCACGGGTGTTTTATAGGGACAGTTCAGAAACATTCCCTGTAAAAACGGAGCTGGGCAGCTCCTGGGAGCAGCTGAGGCAGAAGAGGGAGCTCAGCCAGCTCTTCCTGCCCCAGGGTGCTTTAGCCTTCAGGGGGTTGTGTAGGAACTAAGGAGAGACCTTCCTGCCCCCTTCCACTTCAGGGAAATTATGTGGACTTAGGGCAGATTATTAAAGGTCTTTTCCAACCTAAACAATTCTATTGTTTATTGATTTATTGATTTATTTTATTGATTTATTGATTATTGTTGTTGTTATTATTAATCCTGAGATTTACTGACACCAAACTTACAGAGCTGCAGCAGATCCCCAACCACAGCGTGCCCCATTCCAAGGTCCATGTCTCTCCATATCCATAAGCTGTTGGCTCCAACTGTTTGCTGTTTTTCCATTGCCTCTGACAGGAGGAACCCATCCCTAGGAGCCTCCAACAGAGCCCTGGCCAGGTGGCTGCCAGCAGAATATGAGGATGGCGTGTCCGTGCCCCGTGGGTGGACAGAAGGAAAACGTTTCTCTGGATTCCCCCTTCCACTGGTAAAGTTTGTAACAGCCTCAGAATACAGTGAGATTGTAGCCTAGGGATTGTCAGTTCTAGGACAGGCTGCAGGCATCAGAGGGCTCACCCACCAGCTGGAGCTGTGGATCATGTTGGACAAGTTTAAATTCACCAGCTGCAGGGTGATGGTCTGAGAATATCCAGGGGGATCTATTAGGAATGTCCATCAAAGAACAGTCTTGGCCTGGAGGTTTAGAACCCTGTGCTCAGCACAGACCTTCCTGCACAGACAGATTTGGGGGTTTTTGTCTGCAAAACACAAGAAGTGCCCTGGGAATTTTTGCTGATGACCCCACAACTGGGTGCACCCATTGACACTCGTCATTTCCCACCAGTGTGTTCTGCCTCCATCCCTGCAGGTCCGACAAGTGTCCAACGAGATTGTTCGCTTCCCCCCGGAGCAGCTGCAGATGGATCAGCAGAGATCCCTCATGTTCATGCAGTGGGGCCAGTTTATTGACCATGACCTGGATTTCAGCCCAGAAACCCCAGCCAGAGTCCCGTTCAGGGGTGAGGCAGACTGTGACACCAGCTGTGCCAAGGAGCCTCCCTGCTTTCCCATCCAGGTACAGGCAGCCTCCTTCTTCCAGGGAAGGGAGAGGACATCTGCCCTCTGACCAGGAGATGCTGGTGGCTTTCCCGATCCTTGGCCATGGAGGAACATCCCCCCAGAACTGGCCGAGGAGGTCAGAGCACTCTGTGTGGTGGCAGTGCTGTGTTCCAGGGGCTGCCCAGGGTTCAGGCACAGGCACTGCTTTTGCCATGTTTCCAGGCATTGCCCATTTCCCTCAGCAATGTGTTTTTAATTTGGAGCAGTAGTGCAAAGACAGCATGGGTGATGCCTGGAAAAAAGGAAATGTCACAGACAGGCACTGGGGAGTGTCAACACCCCAGAAAATCCACGGGACTAAAGTGTTCTTTGTACAGGACAAGGGAGTGCTGAGATCTCCCAGCAATGCCTGCAGTGTTGGCAGGAGTCACATCATGGTCCCTGCTCAAGTGGATCACAGAATCACAGAATCATTAGGGTTGGAAAAGCCCTCCAGGATCATCCAGTTCAACCTGTGCATGATCCCTACCTGGTCCCCAGCCCAGAGCCCTGACTGCCACATGCAGCCCTTCCTTGGGCACCTCCAGGGATGGGCACTGCAAACCTCCCTGGGCAGTTCCTTGGACTTGGGCTCCTAAAGCAGCTGTCAATCTCTGCTGTCAATCTGATCCTTCATCTCAAGATTTATGCTGGAGACTTATGACCTGTGGGAGGGCTCCTGCCTGGCTCCATCTCCTGAGCCACTCATGAATTTTCTCTATCTGCAGATCCCACCTAACGACCCCCGAATCACCAACAGGAGGGATTGCCTCCCTTTCTTCCGCTCAGCTGCCAGCTGCACGCGGGGCAGGGCGGTTCGGGAGCAGATCAACGCGCTGACCTCGTTCCTGGATGGCAGCGTCGTGTACGGCAGCGAGGTGGCCGTGGCCGAGCGGCTGCGGGATCGCAGCAGCCAGAGGGGCCTCCTGGCTGTGAACCACAACTTCACGGACAGGGGCAGGGCGTACATGCCCTTCGGTCCCATGAGGAAGGAGCCCTGCCTCAAGGCCAGTGGGGCAGCTCAAATCCCTTGTTTTCTTGCAGGTGAGTTGGGTGTTTGCACCCCAAACCTGGAATCTGGAGCAGACAATTCCACCAGCTCCAGTTCGCTCCTTTAGTCGTTTGTTTTTCTTATTTAGGTAGAGAATGGTATGGGGCAAATCATGAAAGACTGAGACAGACTGTGCTAGGTAGGAGGAAGGTCTTCCCTATCTCCAAGTCTTCTTTGTGAGGATAAACCCGGAGTGAAAGTGTCCTATCCATGCTGAGCAGCACCAGTGTAGGGCACAGGGTGACCCAGGAGCCAGTGCCATGATGGAGCCAAGCAGGCACGGCAATGGCTGGTCCCTACTTGTCCTTCCATGGCTGTCTCTATCCCAGCAGCACGGAACAGGTGTGTAACTGCTGTGCTGGCTCACAGCAGGAAACATTTGTGAGAGGAGCTCAGATCCCAGCTGCAATGAGAATGAGGCCAATACCAGACCAAGGTGGTCTTTTAAGGTGTGAAGGCTGAGGAAGCACTCCAGTCCTTCAGGACACCCTCCTGCTACATTTATCCTTTGTCACGCTTTTGGAATCCCCCTGACCCCTCCTTCAACCCAAAAGAACTTATTTGGTCCTGGACATGGGCTCCTAAAGCCAGACAGGCTCCCAAAGCCAAGCCTTCCCTCCAGCCAAATCCCTGCACAGCCACCAGCCTCTCCACTACTGCTGCCCTTTACGGGGGTTCTGACCCCAGCTCACAGAGACAGAACTGACCTTAGCTCTATTCCATTGTCCTGGTGCTGCTACTGAGGACCAGGAGGTTTCCACAAGCCTGTGGGACCCCAGAGAGGGACACTTCTGATACACCTGATGAGTCAGTGTCTCACTCCCTGGCCTATTTCTTTTGGAGAGGAGCACTTCCCATCTGGCTCCTGCTGGCCCTGGTCACACCAGGCTGCTTGCGGCACTGCTGGAGAAAGTTTCAGAGCACGACAGATCTCATCAGCTGCTTCATGGAGCTGCTTTCTACTCCCTTGGCCCCTTTCATATCTGGCCGAAGTTCTTCTGAATATGCCCGTGGTCCTTGGAATCTATCAGCTCCCTCCTTTAAATCCCAGGGTGTTTCATGTTCCCTCCAGGCTCCTCCAGCATTCCACCTGTCCCACGTGTTGTTCCATGTGCTCACCTGCTCCCCCAGTTCTGTGCAGGTCTCTCCTTGGTGAGGGCCATGCAGGACCTGTGGCCAAAGGCTCAGTGAGAAGCAGAGTGGGCAGGAGTATCAGATGCTTCCTAGAAGGGGCTTCTGACTCTCAGCAAGGAGCAGTTCCTGTTCCATGGCTGGAACAGACCCATCAATTCTTTTACAGTCATCAGTTCAGGCTGCCTCGGAAGTGCTTTTGAAAATCCAGTGTCTTATTTGTGACTTTTCTGGTCCCTGAGAACTGGGAGAGTTTTACATGTGCAGTTGCCTCCCAGGGCTTAGCGTTTCCTCACAGAGCTCTATTGGAAGCTCTGGCTGGATGCATTCTGCTCATGGAAACCTCACAGTGCTGCTTTTGTTCCTCCTTCCGCAGTTCCTCACAGGCAGCCTTTGAGAGAAGATGAAAAGGGCTCTGTGCCAAGTGCAGGAGAAAATCCCTCTATTTACTCTGGGACAAGGGGACTAAATACAACATATTTACTTTTCTGAGTGCTTGTCTATACTCTCATCACCTGCTTGCTCTTGCATTTCCTGCCCCAGATGTTTGAAGAAGGATTTGATATTTCATTGTGATGCTTTGTAATTTATTGCTCCAAGTTGACTCATTTTGCTTTTCTTTTTACTCCCCAGAGAGCCTGTTTGTGACTATCACCTTGCTTTGGCCACAGTTTCAGCTGGTTTGAAAACTTTCTGACTTTCAGAGCTTCCTTGGACATCTTGACTTCCCTCTGCCCATTTGCATTTCTCCTTTTGCTGTGACACCAAATGTCTCGGATATGGGAGCTTGGAGAACACCTACTTGTATTTAACTTTTTAAGTTAATACTTCCAGCCCTTCACTGAAACTTTCCCCACCTCTCTGCGATTCTCAGCACAGCCAGGGCAGCACCTGGCTTTTGTTGCCTTAGCAGAAATTCAGTTTTTGCCTGGTGCTGTCCAATCCCTGAGTTCTCTCTCCTCCTTTGTGTTTCCTACCCATTTTCTTCACAACACAAGTACTGAGACATCTAAAAATTCTTCTGTGTGTGCTTCCCGATGTGACATTCCCACTCCAGTGCCATGTGTGCCCCTTCCAGGTGACACCCGTGCGAGTGAGATGCTGGAGCTGGCCTGCATGCACACTCTCTTTGTGCGGGAGCACAACCGCCTGGCTGGAAAGCTGAGGAGCCTCAATCCCCACTGGAATGATGAGAGGCTCTACCAGGAGGCACGAAAGATCCTGGGAGCCATGATCCAGGTACAAGCCATGGTCCCACATGACTGCCTGCAGTCTCACAAGGTTCAGGTGTTAGGCTGTGCTAGTGTGGGGTGGCCAAAGGGTGCAGGATTCTGGGGGGAAAGGACCAAATTCGTTCCACCAGTGTCTTTTGACCAAAGCAAAATCAGACCGAGATACCTGAAATACCAAGCACAGAGAAGTCCCCCTGAATCTTTGGCGACCCTCTACTTTTAAATTTACAAAGTGCTTGATGAAGTTTTTAATGGCACATTTTTGTTAGAGGAACAGACAGAAAAGTCAGAGGAAAAGCTTTTCTAACTGGTGTTTTGTACCTCATAAAAATGGTACTGGAAATCTGGATTAAAATTCCTCAGGTTGTGAATCTCCTCCTCAATGATTCCCTGCCATTGCAGGGGGTTGGAATGAGATGATGTTAAAGGTGCCTTCCAACCCAACCACTCTGAGATTCTATGAAGAAGCCCCATGTGCTGGTGGGTGCAGCCAGTCATGGTGTCTCTCCTAGGGACTGGGCTGCACCCCAGACTTGACCCTGAATGAGATTCTGGAGTCACACAAACACCTCTGTGCTTGGGAGGGAACTCCCAAAGTCTCTTGTTCAGCCTCTAGATTGGAGCAGGAATGGTCTCAAAGTCAGATGAGACTTTACAGCTGGCAGGAAAGGCTGGATCCTATGGGAGAAAGGGACATGGGTTTTCCAAAGGCACTGCACCTCCTTTGAAGCCTGTCTTCTGAGCTGGTCTAACAAAAAATAAAAAGCAGGAATATCAAAATGTTTATGTTTTTATGCTCTCAATTTAAATAATATTGTATTGTTGGAAAAACATGTTGGGCAAGACAAACTCTCAAAGGATTGTCCTAAAAAGCATCATCTCCATCATTGTGTTTATATCAATGGTTTCATCTTCATGTGGTATTCAGACAATTAATTCATTTTCTCCTACTGACATAGAATTTGATTTTTGTTTTTTTTTTTTAATTATATGTTGCTGCCTCCTCAATATCCCAGAGGGACATGAGAACAGGGCTGGAAATCTCTGCTGTGGGAGGACCCAGGGAGCTGCCTGTGGGTGGTGCTACCCCATTATCTGCTGATGTTATCTTTGCCATCTGAGGCACCAAGGGTGCAGTTCTGCCTGCCTGATGGGAACTGTGACAAGGAGCCAGTATTTGAGAGGATTTGGCAGGCTTTTATCATCACAGAATCACAGAACCAATTTGATTGGAAAAGACTTCTGAGATCATTGAGTCCAACCTCTTATTATGCTGCTCTGAGCTGCCAGAGTGTTGTGGCAGACAGAACATGAAAAACAACTTTGTTTCCACAGAAACTGATGGCCAAGACATTAACAGTTCGACCTTTCCTCCTTTCCCCCTAGATCATAACCTACAGGGACTACCTGCCTCTCCTGCTGGGATGCAGGTTCCACAGGCTCATTCCTCACTATCGGGGCTACAACGAGTCTGTGGATTCTCGGATATCCAATGTTTTCACCTTGGCTTTTCGCTTTGCTCACGCCTCAGTCCCTCCAACTGTTGGCCGCTTAGATGAATATTACAGACCCATAACTCCTGAAATTCAACTCAGAACCTCCTTCTTTGCTGTCTGGAGGATCATTCAAGAAGGTAAATCCTTTCCTGCAGCTCTGCAGTGTGGGTTTATTTCATTCATCCTTTCCTGCCCTCTCTTGATGACCTCCTGCTTCAGCCAAATGCAAAAGCATTTTATGTTCAATGTATTAAATGGCCTTTACTACCAGCCAGAGTCATCTCAACAGAGGGATAACCCTGTAGACAAGGGTAGCCAATCGTGTTCCAAAATGATCTGATTGATTAATTGCTGTGACCTCAACATTATTCAAAGTATTTTCTTCTTAATTCTTTAAATGCAGGGAAATTTATTCTCATGTGGTAGAAGCTTATAATTACATATAAGCTGTGCTCACCTCTCTGGGGCCTCTTAGCCACACACTAGCCTCCCCACACTCCTCACATGTCCCTGCTTCAGGTGGAATTGATCACAGTTTCCCCGTGCCACCTCTGCAGGTGGGATTGATCCCTATCTCCGGAGCCTCATGGCCAGCCAGGCCAAGCTGATGACGCAGCAGCAGATGTTGGTGGGCGAGCTCCGGGACAGGCTCTTTGAGCAGCTTGAAAGGATTGGGTTTGATTTAGCTGCACTCAACATGCAGCGCAGTCGAGATCACGGCCTTCCAGGTAAGGCAGCTGTGGGAGCAGAGCTTACAGAGAAAAACAAGTGGAAATCAGGCATTTTTGCAATTAAACATTGAGAAGCTTCTCCAGCCCATGCTTGGCCAAAATTACTCAGGAGTTGGATTCAGTGATCCTTATGCATCTCTCCCAGTGCAGGATATTCAGTGATTCTATGATGTTCTTTCCCAAACCTTTTCCTTGTTTCTGAACAACCACAGGTAGGTGGGTGGGGGTTGAGCACTGAAGGCAAAGCCTGGCAGAAGCTGCATGAGAGATGTGGAGGCAGAAGAATGCAGGGCATTGCACAGACCAGAGTTTAGTATTCAGTGACTGACTTAATTCTGTTGTCCAAGTGAAAAAACTGGTAAAATAGTTCAGCAACAAGATTGCAGGAGTGGAATTAGGACTGTAAGCCCCCTGTGACTTCTCTGCAGCCATCTGCAGTGGTCCAGCCCAGCTACACATAACTGGAAGAGCAGATTCCAGTACATAAAGAAAATCTCATCATAATTTCTCTATTAAACCCATGTCCCAGAGAAAAAAAACAACCAAGCATGTCAGAATCACCCTCAGGGCTCAGGAAGGTGCAAAACCAGTGTAATGGTATTGCAAGATGGTCTTGAGAAATAGATTGTTGATTGCACTTCAGAGCTGGCTCCTGGGTGGGTCCTTGCCCAACAGTGTTATTAGGCTGAGCTAAGAGCCTGGAGCTGCTGTGTCAGCAGCATCCTGAGAGATGCAACAGGGCTCCTCTTTGAAACTGGGATGAAAACTGAGCTGGATCCATGGGTTTTAAGCCCAGTTAGAGGCTTTGCAGTACATCCAGATGCATCATCAGCTCAGAGGATTGCTCTGCCTTGGCCACAACAGAAGGCTGTGATTTTTCCATGCTTTATTGAGGGACACCATCATGCAGAACCTGATCAGAACCACAAATCCTAGGTTTCCAGACCTGACATGGTGGGAGTGACTTGTATTTCTAGAGAATTTGGGTTTAGCTTTAGGTCTCAACCCCCACCTATGAGTGCTGTACTACTTATATTAGACATCCATTAAGGTGGTGATGATATAGCAAGGTCAAAACCCCTCCCTAATTAATTTTCTGATTAAGTAAATTCTCAGTATCCTGGAATCGTTTGATAGTGGTGTCATCCAGGCACCATATGTTGTGTCTTTTTCTCTCAATACTCCCTGGGTTTTAGACATAAGACAGTAGGTTCAGATTGGACATCAGGAAAATATTCTTTCCTGTGAGGATGGGGAAGCCCTGGCACAGGGTGCCCAGAGCAGCTGTGGCTGCCGCATCCCTGCAAGGGCTCAAGGACAGGTTGAACAGGGCTTGGAGCACCCTGGGATACTGGAAGGTGTCCCTGCCCATGGCAGTGGGTGGAATAAGATGTGCTTTATTATCCCTTCCAGTCCAAATGGTTCCATGATTCCATGAGATCCTGCTCAGAGCAGAGGTATTTGCTGCAGCATTGTCTCATTTCCTCCACCAAGATGCAGTACTATGCACCAGTTGTGGCCTAGTGGACTTTTGGCTGTTTGCAGTCCAGAAAAATTAGTCCAGCTGGCCAAGTCTGTTGGCTAAAGCAACCTGGGCTGTGTGAAGTGAGTGTCTTGTCCCCATTGCTGGACAGGGCCCAACTGTGGAGAAGCACTTGGTCATTCTCCTGTTGTGCAGAGAGCGGGGCCATCAGCATCTTGTCCAGGTTCACTTTCAGTGAAGGCAACATCAGTTGCATCCCTGCTGAGTGAGCAGAACATTGCTGGAAGGTGGTGGAACAACTCCCACCTGCAAAGACAGGGCTGTCCCAAAACAGCATTGAAAGGTCAGGCAGGAGGAACTGCCTCTGGAGGAGTGGGAAGCAGTAGCACTAACAGAAATATAGAAAAATGTTTTAAACATTTTGGTACTCTACTGGTGTCACAGCTTTGGGAAAGAGAGGGGAAAATCTTTCCAGGAGGGGATAGCACATTACTGCTCTATCTGCTCTGACATCCAACTGCTTGCAGGTTACAACTCCTGGAGAAAATTCTGTGGGCTCTCACAGCCATCTGGAGTGAAGTCACTTGGTCAAGTGTTGAGGAATCAGAACCTGGCAAGGAAGTTCCTGCAGCTCTATGGGACACCGAAGAACATTGACATCTGGATTGGGGCCCTTGCAGAGCCCTTTGTGAAAGGAGGCCGAGTTGGGCCTCTCATGGCTTGTCTCATTGGCACCCAGTTCAGGAACATCCGTGATGGGGATAGGTAGGAGAGGAGATGGGTATCCCAGCCCCAAAGTACAGGGAGGCTGGAGTTTATGCAGATTTCTTCATGCATATCTAAAAACTATTCCAGTTGTTCATTGCTTTTCTTTTCAGTACTCCTTCAAAAGTTTCATTCTCTTTGTAGTGATGTTCCTACTCCATCTGATGGTTGAGATACTGGGCTGAGATCCCTTCCCAGCAAAGTGATATCTCACTATTTCTTCTTCCCTCCCCCAGTTCTGAACTGGAACCCTCTGCTCTGATGTGTGGCAGGGTTTGGTCTTTGCTTGTGATGGATGTGGTGGGTTGGGGTTTTCTTGTCAGTCAAAATCACTTCAGCAGTGCTGAGGTTTCAATACACCTGAATTCCTCCTCCTCCTTGAGGTTGCTCGGGGACTTCAGGTGCTGCAGTGAGTTATGTTCCCCATTTTAAGCTGGACTTCTGAAGCAAGATCCCTGTACCAGCCAGCAAAATTGCCTGAAAATGGCAATTTTCAGGCAATACAACCTGAAACAACCCATGTTTCCATTAAACAGTTCTGCTGAGAGACTTACGACAAGCTCAAGCCCCTGGATGAGGAGCTTTGAGTCAGTCAGTCGCACGTCTAGAAATCCTGTTCTTATGACAGGAAATGAACCCTTTTCTACAAAATTGAGTAATTATAGGGCTTGCTCCAACATGGCAATCATTTGGCTGTAACCACAGCCTGTGCACAGTCTCTGCAGCCTTTCCTATTTGAAAGAGTGTACCTGTGCCTCATCTGAGGACAATTAATTCAATTGCAGCTTTGTTACTTGCTCATGGCCAAAAGAAAAGCAAGATAATTATCCAGCTGGTGAGTCAGGGCTCTTGATTTAAATAACAGAAATTCAAATTTGTTCTTGGAAGAAGAAATTAGTGTAAATGGGAATTAATATTGTGGGAATCATCAATGTGAATAAGGCAAAGATCTGTTGTGTCTTCTTTCTCCTGCAGGTTTTGGTGGCAGAACCCTGGAGTTTTCACTCCTCGCCAGCGCCTTTCACTGGCCAAAATCTCCTTGTCACGAATAATATGTGACAATACCCACATCACTAAAGTATCAAGGAATATCTTTTGGGCTAACACATACCCCCGTGGCTTTGTGAGCTGCAGTCAGATCCCAAAGCTGGACCTGAGACCCTGGAAGTCAAAGAGCACTGAGGAGTAAGGTATGATCTGCAAACAGCAGCAGGTCCTGCCTGCAGACCCCTGAGAAAGCCAGACCCTGGGGTTTAAAACTGAGCTGCCTAACATGTGGCTGGACCTGTGTGCCAGGTACAGCTTTAGGTGCTCCAGTTTACTGGGTATACTTAGAGTGGCTCCTACAAAATGCAGATTTTCTGCCAGACCAAGCCAAGTGCCCTATTCTGGGAATTTTTTCTAATGAGGAAAGGCTGAGGGAGCTGGGGCTGTTCAGCCTGGAGAGGAGCCCCAGCTGAGAGGGGCCTCAGCCCTGGCTGTCCCTGTGTGCAGGGAGGGCTCCCAGCAGAGCCCGGGCTCTGCTCAGGGGCCCAGCAGTGGCACCAGAGCCACGGGCAGGGACCGAGCCCAGCAATTCCCCCTGCACAGGAGGCAGAACTGGTGCCCTGGGCACTGCCCAGCCCTGCCCAGGCTGCCCAGGGAGGGGCTGGAGTCTCCCTGAGCGGGGATATTCCCGAGCCCTCTGGACACGATGCGGTGCCCTGTGCTCTGGGCTGGCCCTGCCGGAGCAGGGAGGTGGCACCAGTGACCCTCCTGTGGTCCCCTCCTGCCTGAACCTTTCTGGAATTCTGGAATTTTTTTCTGATTAATAAACTTTCCATTTAGCTCTTTGCTGTTGATGCCAGGGTTTTCTTCATGGGAAACAATGCCCAGAATGGGAAGGCTGATGTCTGTTGAGATGCTGTTTGTCAGCACATCCTTGTAAGGCCAAAAGCAACTCAGCATTTGAAAATGAATTCCTAGTCTATGGGAAGATTTCTGGTTTTGATCTCTGCTTGTACAGTTTTTGCCTGTTTTTACACTATTTCTCTCACCTGCCTTCAGGATTTGTAAAATTCTTGAGGTCTAATGCCTGCCAAAATGCTCCCTGAAATCCCTGGGAAGTAGATGTAGAATGGCTCTCCCTGGAGAAGGGTAGGATGTTCCAGTGCCTTTTCCAAACAAAACATCCTTCCTTTCCTCTGACAGTCAGGTCCTGTCACACTCATAATTCCAGTTTTTGATCCCTCCTTTTCTGCCTAACCTGTGGAAACAAATCACACAAGGGATCAGGGAGCTATGGCAGGTTCTTTTCTGTTAACACAATGCTTTTTATCTCCTCTAGAAAAAAGATTCTCATTAATTTAAATGCTGAATGTTGACGACTTCCCAGATGTCCAGACTTGGGAAGCTGCTGAGGTTGATTATTAATTTTTTCTGTGTTTATGCTTTTACTGCCTGCAATGTCTGAGCATAGTTCTGTCATTTTTTCAGCTTGATTTGCATGAAGCCTTTACAGTGGGATGGAGCCCAGGAGTAAAAGAACTTGATGAAGAGATATCCCAGATCCATAAAATCACTCAGTATCACAAAGCCAAGTGAAATGAGTTTTCCAGAGGCTGATCCCAAATCACACCAACTGCTGGCTTAGGCCATGGAACCACATAATTCTTCACCAAGATTTAGTGTCAAGCATGTGTTTTGGACCTTCCTTTTAAATTTTTCAACCCCCACAGAATTATCCAGGGCATTGGAATAGGTAGTTGGTTTTTGCTCTCCAATTTTTTTGTTTGAAAGAAATAAATCCTTCGATTTCCAGAGAAAATATACTAATGACAGGATTCCTCCAAGAGAATAAGAAATAGTTGTCCTGCACCCCAAACATACTGTCCTAAAATGCCCTGTGTCAGATTTTGCTCCAATATGGAAGGAAGGAAGGAATGTGCCACATGGATGAGAGTTTTCTCACTGTTATTTCCCATAGTCCAGAACGCCCAAAACATCCTCTGTTCTGTTCTGTAACAGAAACCTGTGACGAGTTATTCCTGAAGCCTGGCATGAGCCAGTGACTCAGCACTGGCCTGTAGGGCTGGTGGCATGTGGCCTGGCAAGGATCAGAACAATTTCAACATATAAGATAGTAAAAGCTATTCTGGTTTCAATCCAGCTTTTTCCATTTTATTGAAAGTTATCAAACCCACTTTCTCCTCCCTCTGTAGCCTGCTATATTTCTGTTATTGCTTAATAAATTGCAATTTTGGGCTGAGGCCAAGATGTTCTTTTCATTTCATAAGAGGTGCAGCAACCACACATGAGTGCAGGAGGGTGGTAGGCTTTCTGTGGGAATATTGGGAAAAGGCAGTTCCAGAAGCTTTGTGTTGTTAATGAAAGAAGGTATTTCTTGTTGAAGCTTCTGACCCCAACTCCTGTGTGATACAGAAAGTCAGCACTGACTGGGAGGTATTGATTGGGGTGTCCCAGCCTCTCCAGCTCTGGTTTGCTACTCCTGGTTGTGTATGGTGACCTAGTCCCGTGTCTGTTCAGCCCCCTGGGGAAAGAGTATTACCTGTTGACTTCAGCAGTTCCCCTCTGAGAGAGGATCTGACTGGCTCAAAATCACCCACAAACCCTCTATGTGCACTGAGCACAGACAGCTGATTTTCTCTTTTTAGCCAAGCTGAAATTTGGACAATTTTATTTACTTTATCAACTTGATCAAACCTATGCAAGGCTGGTACAGCAACATGGGGACTGTCTATAGGGTTCCTGGCATGTGCCTGCCTTGGCCAGTGGAGTTCCTGAGGTCTGGAGGGTGCCTCCTGTGGGAGTTAGGATGGGATGGTTTGCCCTGATCAGCTTCTGCTGCTGGCTTCAGAAGGGCAGCTCTCCCTTCCCAGCTCTCTTGAGTCCTCTCATTCACTTTCCCAGCAGCCTTCCCCAGCTGTTTCAGCTCAGACCTGGATGTCCATCCCAAGTTCATCCTGTCAGGTCCTTCTCCCAGTGCCAATTCCTTTTTTCCTCAGTGGATGCCCACCAAGGTGGTCAGTGGGCTGCAGCACACGGAGTGCAAAGACAGGAGGGAGCTGCATCTGCTTAGTCTGGAGAATGGGAGGGGGAGTTATTTCAGTCTCTCTAAGGTGTAGCTATGAAGGTGGACACTTCCCAGAGGCTCACAGGGAAAGGACAAGAGGTAACATGCAGGTTGGAGCAAGGGAAGTAACCTTTAGACAAAGATATTATTCCCTGTGATAGTGGTGTGATGCAGACACAGGGATGAGAGAAATCTTGAGATCTCCAGTCTTGGGTATTCTCCTAAACTGTCTTGAACAAGCTCTCTGGACTTTCAGTTAACCCTGCTCTTAGTAGCTGGTTGGCCTGCAAACTCCCTGGTGTCCTTTCCCGGTTCAATTTTCCCTGATTTTCAGTGATAAATTGTTCTACTTCCTAGCCAGAGGTCACCTGGCTGGGCTCTAAGCTATCCCATGTATGCGAGTCCTTCAGCCCAGGCTGTTCCATGCTGTTGCATTCTTTTCTCTCAGGCCTGTCTTGGTGCCACAAAAATCTTCATGAGCCAGAACACTTTTTCATGTAAAACCTCTTGTCATTATAAGCACTTCCAGCCATGCTTTTGTTCATAAATGAGTCTCCAAAGTGAATCTGTGCCTTGTTGTGGGAGGACAGATAGAGCTAGTGCTGCAGGCAATCTTGCCCCTGATAAATTGCAGCTGTGCCAACTACCAAAGAGTGGAACAACCTTGCCTTCACAGCTGTATCCAAAAAGGATGTGAGTTATAAAGGAGTGGGTTAGCAGTTATGATAAAGTTCCTTTTCATGCAGTTGTTTTAGGAGATGAAATGCAGTTGGAGCAGTCCCAGGTTACACCTGCATTTTCCTGATTTACTCCTTGCTCATGCTGATGCTGTCTGAACATGCAGCTGCCTCTGGCCAGGAAAACTTAGGGAGTTGTTGCTCTTGTTTTATCTTTTTGTCTCGACTTGTGGTACTTTTCCCTCTGTGCATGGAGAATGTCCAGCTGCTCAGCTTGGTCCCTCCTGTGCCTGGACGTGTAGGACAGGGTCTGGCTGCTCAGATTGCTCTTGTTCTTTCTCCCTTCCAAAATACTGATTTCGGATTCCCTGGACATCTTGCAGCCAGCTCGCTTGGTGAAGATCAACGTTTGCACAAAGTGGGACAGCCTGGGGTCGTAGAATCATGGAATGGTTTGGACTAGAGTGGACTTAAATACCATCCAGTTCCACCTCTGCCATGGTCAGGGACACCTTCCACTATCCCAGGTTGCTCCAAGCCCACCCTGGTCTTGGACACTTCCAGGGATGAGGCAGCCACAGCCTCTCTGGGCAGGGTTTGTGCTGTCTGATACATCCTGCTCCTCCCCACTAAAGATTTTCTTAACGTTCCTCAGGGTTCCTATTCCCAGAGCGCCCTGAAGGGGCTCTCCAAGCACTGCCGGCCCCATAGCCCCTGCACACAGACAGCTTTGCTGCTGTGTTTGCCCTGTTGCCATCCAGCCCTCCTGGAGCTCTCCCAGCGCCGTTGCTAAGCCAGCTTCCCACAGTGGGTGCAGCTCTCAGCTGAGAGCACAGCCTGGCTGAAGCCTCACTCCCAAACCTTGTTCCAGCTTTGCACCACCCACACGTAGCTGATGGAGGGAGTTTCACCTTTGGTCTACATCACCAGCTGCTCTGACTCGTTCACTGCTCTGCTCCACACGCTCTGAGCTGGAAGGATGGAGTTTTTCCTTCTTCACTACCTGTTTGTCTCTCTGCTCATTACCTTTATAGTTCTCTACCAGGTGAAACCTGCATTCAGATTCTTCTGCAAGATGACCTTCTATAAGCTGTGGCTCTTCACCATAAGCATTGTGGTTGCCATCCTCAGTGTTCCTCGTGGACGTAACGTGGACAACATGATGTAAGTTGTCTGTGGCTCCTTTCTGCCCTGAGCATTGATAGAGTCCACTCTATCCAGTGCTTTGATTTGAAGGGTCCTGGGAGTGTGGTGTGGTGGGGAGGGATCGGTTCTATATTGGTGTGGGGAGATGACAAACTCTGTAATTCAGAGAAGGGGTGTGGGTTTTGATACTGGCTTGCAGTTGATAAAAAGAATAACAAATTATGTAAAGAAATTATGTAAAAGGTGACACAGATTTGCCAAAGCAGGAAATGCCAACAACCTGGATGTAATGCATATTGCTATTTTTACTAGAGTTCTTTCATCTGGTCTATGGAGCTGCATTTCTCCCCTCCACATGGCTGAGCACTGTATTACTAAGTGGTGTTGAGAGGGCCACTCCAGGGGCTCTTCCCATTCTCTACTCTGAGCCAGGGCACACCTGAGACATCACCGTGGTGCAGTGCTAGCCCCTGCATGGGCACTAACTGGTGTCCCCATCAGCTCAGTGACAGCCTGATGTCCCAGGTCTGGCAGTCCCCCAGCCCATCCCATTGCTGCCTATCCTGTCTCTCCAGATTCCATTCAGACTCCAGGCTGTGGACTCACCTGGGGTGTCCAGGAGTGATCAGTGGTGGTGGCAATCAGGAACCTGGGCTGAGGGGGGAATGAGAAGACAACTCTGCTACATGGCACCACAGTGCCTGAACCCTCCTGAAGTACTGCAGAAGCAGGATTTACTATTCTATTTTATGCTTCAATGAGAATTCGTATCTCCTAACTGAGCATCAGCCTTTTGCTTTGAGAAATTTTCTTCACCTCTTGACTTTGGTGCCTGACCTTTTCTTTTTTTAGATGTTATTTTATCAATATCTCTTCAAATAGGACTCCCAACATTGCAGCCTAATGTCACCTAGAGGAAAACACCTCTCTTTCCACAGCCAGCCGGGGTAGGCACAGGTTTACTGCAGCCTGTATTCCCAACCTAGCTTGGTGGGGAGGAAAGCAGCGTACAAAGGTGTGCTGTGAAACTGGCTATTGTCTAATATTTGGTTGATCCTGGTGGAACTTCTGGAGCTGTAGTTGCTGGGTCATTGATCATGTATGGCTTGAGGGAAACCTGTGAGGTATATTTTACTTCTGCAATTAAATAATTAGCTGCAGAGGGATACTAATTGTTCTTTTCCAAGTCGTGGTCAAAGCTGTCTGTAGGAAACTGGCAGAAGCAGTGTCTTGGTTTGGAATACAGGTGTCTGCTAGGGAGGGCAGGAGCCCCCCTCGGAATGAAAATGTAAACCCTCTCCCTCCAAATTATTATAATTCTGAAATCAAGGGGCCTTTAGGCAGAGATCTGGGGATAAGAATAACAGCTCTTTACTAGTATTTATAACAAGGCAAACAAACAACAATAACTACAGCATTAGCAAGAACACAGAACCAGGGACCCCGTGACAACTTTCTGGGCTGAGATGGGAAGGGATGGAGGAGAGGCTTTGTTTCACAAACCCCTCGGGCAGTGCCGGTGCTCCTGCAGGGCTCTGAGGAACACTCAACTGGAACAGCAGGGATGGGCTGAGATCCTGGGCTGGTGGCTGAGGTGGATCAGCAGCTCCATGGTGGTGCCTGGCACGCGGAACTCTTTGTGTTTCTCAAGCACCCACTGAGTACCAGCAGTCAGGGGTGTCCCCTCTACTAATGGGTAAAAATTCCATAGGTGAGATGGAACAAAAGGAAAGACACCTAACCCCCAACAAGAAGCAGTGTGTGAAGTGGGCTGGTTCGCATGCAAAGCTTGGTCCCAAATTTCAGCATCTCTTTGGCTAATTTCCACTCCTCTTTTCCAGGTTTTTGCGCACATTGACCCGGCCACTCAAATACATCTTTGGCATTCAGATAGTGGTGAAGGGCAAGGAGAACCTCAGGACTAAGAAACCTTTTGTCCTGGTGCTGAATCACCAGACCTCTCTTGACATCATGGGTATGTGGTGACCCTGCCTCCTGCTCCAGGCGCCAGTTGTTTGTAGGGATGGATCATGTGGAATCCCACAGGCAGAGGGGCAGTTGTGGCTGCTGCAGAGCCCTTCACCAGCCAGCCCCAAACCAGGGCTGATCTCCAGGTTATCAGAGGAATTTTCAAGCTACATCAGTTTTACCCTCTCCAAGGGAGTAGGGACAAGGCTCTCTGCTGACCAGAGCCCTCTCATAGCTGCTCTCCTTCAATGCCAGTCATGAGTGGATAGTCTGGAGACCCCCAAAATTCCCCAGGGATTCTGTGGAGCTTGGCATGTCCTAGATCCAGAGGGCTGCTGCCCAGAGGGATCCTGAGTGCAGATGATGACTTGTTGTGTCCTTGCTGTCCCCTTGCAGTGATGATGGAGATATTGCCGAGGCGCTGTGTGCCCATTGCCAAGAAGGAGATCCTGTACATGGGCACATTTGGCCTGGCCTGCTGGCTTGCAGGGGTCGTCTTCATTGACCGCAGGAGGAGGGAAGAGTCCATTGGCACCCTGACAGAGGTGGCACACTCCCTGCACAAGGACAACGTGAGTGGGGAGGAGTCCAATGAGGATCTGCTGGAAAAAAGGAATCTGGATGTGGGTGGAAAGAAATCTTTATCTCTGGGCTGGACACTGAGCAGAACAGAGTGAGAGGATCAATGTGTTCTGTGCCCATGAATGGAGGTCGGGGTACAGAGATGAGCCCCAGGGCAGCACCCCTCTAAGCAGTGGCTTAAAGTTGTACCTGGACCTCCACCCTAATGTCTTCTCCCTCCTGCAGCTGCGTGTCTTGATCTTCCCTGAAGGAACTCGCAACCATGGTGGCTCCATGTTGCCCTTCAAACGTGGGGCCTTCCAGCTGGCTGTGAAAGCCCAGGTGAGACCCCCATTCCTTCTGCCACTGATGTGCCATTTGCCTGCTGTAGTCCACCAGCAAACCAGGGTCCTGGCCCCTGGCTTCCCTATGGATTGAGTACATATCCAGGAGCCCTTGGGGGTTTGCAGGTGGCACAGGAGGGGTCTGTTTCTGTGAAAAGTGGAAAACCTTTGTTACAGCTTGGGATAAAAGCTGGGGCCTTGACAAGAGCCCTGGACCTGCACAGGGATGTTTCTGCTGAGCTGGCCTCTGTAGATAGAAATTTGACAATCTGCTGTTGTTGGCCTTAATACAGAGATAAAAATACAAAACCCAATAGCAAGGGCATGGGGTGATACAGTTAAATGATCTAAATATTCAAATAACCCTCTGAGTGTGTGCTGTGACACTGATGGTGAAAATTATCAATCCTGCAAGGTGCTCAAAACATGAGCTGAATTTTGGAGGAAGAATAAGGAGATGTGTATATTCACTGTAGACTGCCTTCCCTCCAGGTCCCCATTATTCCTGTAGTGTTGTCTTCCTACAACCACTTTTACAACCAGAAGGAGAAGAAATTTACACCAGGTAAGGATGACCTGGGGCAAAGAATGGTCTGGGTGGTGGTGCAAGCTCAGTCCTTGGAGCCGTGACCAGGGTGGGCAGAGGACCACGTGTAACATGGAGATGGAACTCAGAAAATGGAAGTTGCTGTCTTCTTGGGAAGAAATGGGACATTTCAGATACCACTTTTCCCTCTCCCCTTGGATTTCTCACTGCTTGTCCAATACCTGTCCAAGAGAACTTGGAGGAGCAGCAGAGTCCTGGGGCAGGTCCTGCCCCTGAACCCCCACACTGCCCTTGGATCTGCAGGCGCATGGAGAGCTAGGAAACATTTATGGCAACAAAAAATTTCTACTGGCCACAGAAAAAATTTTAGGGGAAAAAAATAACACAAATCTTGGGCTTCAGAAAAAAAATGCAGAAAAAAAATGGAACAAATTCCAACAGAGAAAGGTAGCCCATCCTGTTCCTTTGCTCCCTCAGTTGCCTTAAAATGGACTTGTGCCTCTTCCCACTCTTTCCCAGACAAGCCTTGGTATTCCCTGAGGAGAGGATCTGCATTTGAAATTCTCATTCCTCCCATTGTTGTGCCTGAGTGTAGTCATTCCCTTGCAGGCACACACCTGAGAAGAGAGAGTGGTGCAAATGATAAATATGGAATTGCCTGTTTCCAGTCATCTTTCACCAGCTGGGTTTATCCTCTCTCTGTTCACACACAAAAGTCTTTTGGATCTGAAAATGTTCCCCCACCTAAGGGTCAATAGGTCCCATGAGCAGCCTTCCCTTTACATCCCTGATCTGGAAAATCAGAGAATAACCTGCTGGGGAGGGATCTTTGAAGCAGGTGAACATTTTGCTTTAAGCAAGGCCAAGTCTAAAGACAGACGAGTTAGCTTTGTGACCAGTCCAGAAAAGGTTGTGTTAACTCCAAGGATGGAGATTCCAAGAATTCCTTGAGCTTTTTAGGAAAGACTTTTTGCAGTTACATGTGCATTTGCCTATATACAACTTCAGTCACCCTGGGAATTCATTAGATTAGCTAATTCCATGCTCAGCTGATCTCTGAGTCCTTTTCCAAAGGGCTGTTAAACAGGCAGGACCTGCTCTGCTTAAGAAAGAGCCCTAGTTAGCTTTCCTTGTGCTTTTCCACTTTCCCCACCTGGAAGTTTTGCCAGAGCTGATTCTGAAGATGGTGGTCAGGATTCCTGTGTGCCGAGCAGGTCTGTGGGTCAGGACAGCTCCCTGTGTCTGCAGTGGCTCTGGGTGTGCTGAGGAGCCTCTTGAAAGCCCAGCTCTGTGCCTGGTGTTGGACGTTGTCATTCATGGAACATGTCTGGTGCTTGCTGGAAGTCTGTACCAAACAGGCCTGAATTTTCAGCACAGCCTTGTCATCACTCTGCGTTTTCAGTAGGAGCAAGTGAAGTGAGGCAGCAGCCTGGCTTTGGGTGTAAGATGTGCAGGTAGGTAACACAGAATTGTGGAATCACAGAAGGGTTTGGGTTGGAAGGGACTTGAAGCTCAGTGTATTCCATCCCTGACCATGGGCAAGAACACCTTCCACTAGACCAGATTCTCCAAGTCCCATCCAACATTACAAACCCTCTTCTTTTGTGAAATTCTTCTCTGCACTTGTTTTGCCTCCTTCCCACAGCTCTGCCACTGGCACTGCTGGATCTCATTGCAGGCACACATGTAAAGTCAAGTAAGACCATTTCATAACACATCACAGCTCTCCCCAAATCCCCAGGTTCCTGTCTGTGCAGGCACTGTCTTGTCTCCACTGGGCCAAAACAGGGGACTCTTGGTGACAGAAGAGAGGAGCATGATGGCAGCTCCCCAGTATGTTCTTCCAGTTTACACCAGTCCATTGCTCAGATGCTTCCCCAGAGAAGTCTGACATACTAGGGAATCCTGGCCACAATTTCCTCTCATCCCAAAGCGTGTTTCTGGAAGGAGGGACCGTGCTAAATTTGGTATACAAAGAGCACAGCCAGTTTGGATGTGTTGTATTAAACATCTTCTCTTTGCCTGTGATCTAGACAGACCATGAGATCTGTGCACTGTGAAAACTCATCCTGTATGGAACATTGCATTGTGTTGGAGGAGAGATTCACCTGTTTCCATATTTATGATTATTGTGCTCTCTGTGGATGGGAAAAGCCTGGGCTGGGTTTTTGCTGTGTGCTTTTGGGATGTGGCTGGGCACCCACATCACCGGTGTTGGGAATGAGGACATTTCCAGCCCACCTGCTCTGCTGCCTCCAGCTCTTCTGTAACCACTCATGGTTTTGGTTTTTTTCCCCATCTCACCTTCTTCCAGGAAATATGATCATCCAGATCCTGCCAGAAGTGGAGACGCTGGGCCTGGGCCCAGACGATGTTCCCAAGCTGACGGAGCAGGTCCGTGACTCCATGCTCTTGGCCTACCAGGGGATATCAGGAACGACAAATGGAGCTCCCCATTAGCGGTCCCATCTTCCAGCTCCAGCTGTGTGTGCCACAGCTGAGAGAAGGCCATGGCAACCACAGGAAGGTCTGGCAGCAGAGACAGCTGTGGATTGCAACACTGACATACCAGAGACAGGCAAAAGATCCACCAAGGAGAGAAGCTTCCCAGGGGAATGTTGCTGTGCCACCTCCCACAGAACTGTGCCATCAAGGGGACAGACACACAATGGATAGCTGGACATTTCTGTGTCATCATATTGCTGAGAATGCCCCAGCCTGAACCCAGGCAGAGCTGGGCCCTTCCAGTGATCATCACTGCCTGCTTATAACCACCTTTCCCTGTTCAGATCCAGCAAGGTGGAGGTGTTGACCCCAGGCCTGTGAACATGCTGCCTGGGAAGTGACTGCCCTGGGGTTTGAGGGCTGCCACATTCCTCTGGAACACACTCAGGAGAAGGCGCTGTTTTCTTCCTCTTCCATGGGGAGGACTTGGGAGGGACCTCTGCCATGAGAGACAGGAACCAAGGAAGCTTTGGGAGAGGGGAATTAAAGACCTTAGATGTGTCTACAGGGCTTGGTGGTTTCTTTGACATATTTAGCCTTCCTTTTAACCTGAGGAAGATTTTGCTTTCAGGGCTGGGAGAGAGAGACATGTCTGGGGACTCAGAAACCAGAGGCAAAACCAGCAGGAGTATACTGCCTAATATCCTTGATGTGCCAGATGGAATAATTCCTGGAAGCATTCCAAAGATGTATATATCTGGTCCTTGGGGACATGGTTTAGTGGTTGACCTGGCTGTGCTGGGTTAATGGACTTGATGATCTTGGGGTACTTTTCCAGCCTTGCTGATTCTGCAATTCCATGATGATTTTATGATAACCTCATGATTTTTAGCACAATCTCTATATCTTTCAACTCAAACACACTGTGGGAGCTGTAGCTCCTGATTTCTGAGTCCAGCCTTCTGCCTTCTTTGTCAGAGAATGCCCACCAGCCATGATGTGATTTGCTTTTTTGTACTGGTATGTTCAGCTATAAACCAGAGCCAAAGAATATTTTGGACATAGGTCTGGCTTACACAGAATCACACTCATTCACAGAATCATTATGTTGGAAAAACCCTCTAGGATCATACGGTCCAGCCTGTGACTGACCCTTACCTTCTCAACCAGCCCAGAGCACTGACTGCCATATGCAGCCCATCCTCACTTTGTGAGTGAAAGTTCCTCACTTTCCCACCTCCAAAACAAGGGGAAAGCTCAAGCTCTTGCTGTTGGGGTAAAACAACCAACAGAAAACCTGCTGCAGTTGTTCTGAGGGTGCAGCTTTCCATGGGAATATGAATGGGAAGGAGCAGGTTCCAAGGGTAAAAGTGCTGGGCACAACTTGTCCACGGAGGTCATGCTCGGGGCTCCTTGACATCTGCACTCTGGGAAGAAATCCCAAAAGGATTTGGGTTGTAAAGTACCTTAAAGCTCATCTCACTCCACCCATGGCGGTCCCATGGCAGGGACACCTTCTACCGGACCTGTGTATTCCAAGCCCTGTCCAACCTGGCTTTGGACACTTCCAGGGCTGGGACAGCCACAGCATCTTTGGGCAACCTGTGCCAGGGCCTTTCCACCCCCACAGGGAAGAATTTCTTCCCAACGTCCATTCTAAACTGACCTCCTTCAGTGTAATACCATTCCCCTTTGTCCTACAGCAACAGGCCCTGCTAAAAGCTTCATCCCATCTTTCTTTCTTACCCTTTCAAGTGCTTCCACAGCATAGTCCAGAGCTGGCCTAAGCCTTGCCCACATCCCATTCTTCCTAAAGCAAAAAAAAATCTTTCTCTTAGTGTTTACTGTTTTCCTCTGCAGCTATAGGTCAGATTTGGCAACTCTGAGGCTGGGAAAGCATCTCTGTATTGTCTTATGATTTCTCTCTAGTCTTGTGTTTTCCAGGCAGGAAAACTGGCTGCAGTCAAGAGGCTCATGGACACCCAAGGAGCAGCATCCCAATAAAGGGCAGCCCAGCCCAGCACCATTCTGTGTCCCAGGAAGATGTTGCTGGGGCAAATACATGGAGAGATGAAAATCTGCACAGGGTGTATCCTTGTGAGTGCGGCTACCTCACTGTGCTGTGAAAGATGGTGTCCCTGTCCCTCTCCAGGCAGCACTGCTGGTCTCAGCACAACATTGCACACCCAGGTATCAGTTTGAGGGGAGGTGTGTAGGTCTGGGAGCAGCAAGTGTGAGGGATGTGCCTGGGCAGTGTGGAGAGCAGATTCATGAATGTAAAAGTCCCACATGTGGGTACAAATACTACTAATTCTGTAGAGGATGTGGGGAGGGGGGGTGTGAGCTGTGGGGGAATGAGGTTTTGAAGGATGTTCCTGAGTCTGCAGTATGGAAACTTCATGGGTTTGCCTGAAACCATTTTCCATCTTCATGCGTGCTATAGAGGCTCAAATGGCTCAGAGGGACCGTGGTGAACACCACACAGAGGCACATAAAAGGGAAAAAGCAAAGGTTTTCTCCAAATCCTTTATTCTCCAGAATCATGAGTTGACATGTATAAACCAGGGTCCCCCGTCATCCAACACTGGGTCACCCTCCTATAAATATCCTCCCTGTCACTGTCCTATAAATAATATCATTATCCACAGAAAAAAAGGACTGACTGCCCCATATGAAGATTTCTTAAATAGCTTCAAATAACACAATAGCCAAGGTGCAGTCCCGTGGGTCTGGGGTTGGGGCAGAGGGATGAGGCTGAAGCCTGGTCTGTGCAAGCCAAGGATGAGCAGCAGCCCCAAAACAAGGTGCTCTTCCAGCAGTCCCTCGGGGACACCTGCAGATGCTCCTGTGGCTCCTGCTGTCCCAGGGCTCTGCTCCACGGCTGGAGCAAAGAATAATGTGACTTGTCCATGACAGCAGCTACTCTTGCCATACTGCTTGGCTTAGTTCTGCTCCAAGATTTGCAGGTAGCTTCGGACCCAGCTGTTTTTGGGATTGGCACATACCTGGCGGCCTTCCTTTGTAACAAACCTGTGGAACAGGGATGGGACACGTTAGATCTCTGCTCACACCTGCTTCCCAGGAGAGCCTGGATCCCAGCTTCAAGAAGTTTTCCCCTATGCTGATGCTGAAAGCAACAGATGATTGTGATGTTCCCTGCTCCCATCCCTTCTCCCACACTGCCACCTCCACTCCTGCAGGAGCATCCCTTGGAATCCCCAAACAAGCATCCCCAGCAATCCCTGTGCAAGCCCTTCCTCCGTGGTGTTTCCCTCTCCCTGCTCTGTTCCTGTAGCCCCCCTTGCTGTGCAGAGCTGGTCATTCACCCACCCCTGCCGTGGCCGTCCCTGCCCTGGGCCGTGCACCGGCACTCACACGACGGCCGGCTGGGGACAGCTGCTGCTGGTGATGTAATGACGTTGGATGAGCTTCCACGGGAGTTTGTGCTGTCTGTATCTGAAACAGCAGATTGGGATGTCGAGTCCCGCTAGGAGAGCAAAAGAAGACAATGTGAGCACTGGGAGCTGTGCTGGCAGGGAAGGCAGTGAGGAATTAGAGAATAATTAAGGTTGAAATGGACATTGGAGATCATCTGGTCCCATGCCACGAGCAATATCGAGGTACTGTGAGAGATTGTCACCCTGCCGTTGCTCAGAGCTTCACTTCCCCAACTCCTCCAGCCCCAGGGCAGAGACAGAAATATCTCAGCTCTAACCAGGAATAAGTACTCTGAACTCAGGTTAGATGGATGGATGGACAGGTGATTGGATGATTTTCTAATTCCAGAGTTCCTACATGCAGCTGATCACTGGACAGAGCAGAGAGTGGCATAAATGCTGATAAATTCCCATCTATCTGCCATGGGAACTTAACAGAGAAATAACATGGAAGGCTCAGATCTGTACTCCCTTCACAAATGAAAAAGCAGGACTCACCTGGGCTACAGAAAGTTTGGAAGAAGGAGGCTGAAATGATGAGAAGAGCCAATCCAGCTGCAGAGACTTTCATCTTTCCGTCGGGTGAGGGCTGTCAGAGCAGGAGCAGAAGCTCTGGATTATGAAGCTCAGTGTGCAGCAGCTGGATTCAGCCCCCTTTAAAAGGGAGTCCTGGAGGCAGCTGGAGAAGCCAAAATGGAAATTCCAAAATGATGATAAAGGATGACACGAAAGTGAAATAGCTGAAGGGAATTAGAAGGAACAGAAAAATGTGAGGCAGAATGGAATACAGTTCACAATGCCAGGTGACTCAGCACTCATTTTTGTTTCATTCAAATCAAAAAGAAACTAGAATGTGCCAAGTGGCCTGGCCACAAAAAGAATGGTCCCTCTGGACTCCAGGGGAGGGTTTCTCTGTGAGGCTGTGTAGGGAAAGAAAATGTTTGTGTAAGATTATGCAGTTCTGGAAAAAAACCCAACAGGCAGCACAGAAGTGCTCTCGTGCCACTGTGTGCTGGGTGTTTGCCAGACTGCTGAGCTGCTGCCCCAGAGCTCAGGGGAAGCTGTACCCAAAACACTCAGCCTGCCCTCCCCGCACCCACAGGGCTGGTGAGGAGCTGAGGCTGGAATTCATCCGGCCCAGTCCCTAGGGAGGCTGCCCCGGACCATGTCCAGGTGGGCTGTGAGACTCCACAGCCTCTCTGGACAGCCTTTTTCAGAGTGCAATGAAGTTTTATTTGGTGTTTAAATAGAATTTCTCGTTGCCTCTTGTCCTGTTAGTGGCCACCACTGAGGAGAGTTGGGCAGCCTCTGCTTTGCTCCACAGACATTGGTAAGAATCCTCTTAGTAAGAATTCTCCATCCTGAACTCCTCCTGCATCTCCTCCCTAGAGAAATGCACTTGTCCCTCCATCATCTCTCTGGCCCTTTGCTGGACTCTCTCCAGTACGTCCATACGTCTCTAATCCTGGGGAGAGCGGAACTGGACCCAGCACCTGAGGACCCCGGTGCCCCACCTGATGCTGAGTAGAGGGGAAGGGTCCCCTCCTTCAGCATGCTGTCAATGTTCCTTTCTTATGCAGACCAGGAACCTGTTGGAATTTTGGTGGCAAGGGACATTGCTGCTCATGTCCAGCGTGGTGCCCACCCCAGGTCCTTTTGCCAAACTGCTTTCCAGCTGGTCAGCACTGCCATATAGTGGTACCTGGGAATGTTCCTTCCCAAGGGCAGGACTTTGCACTTCTTTTTGAGTTCCATGAGGTTCTCCAGCCTGATGAGGTTTCCATGGATTTCAGACAGGCCAAAAGTGATAGGATATCAAGGAAGGTGGAGGATTTTGCCAGAAGCAAGGTCTGGCAGGATCAGCTCTTTGTTCCCCTGGTAAGTCTGATCAGCTCAGCACAGAACAAGAAGTGGCTCCAGCTTGTGGCTGAATTGCTGCCGAAAAAAACCCAAATTGTGGCTTTTTGCCATGGAAATAATTCATTCAGAAACCAACAGTAGGAGTTTTATGTTCCTCTGTTCTTGCAACTCACATGCAAGTGTGACAAACGGCACAGAGCAGTGAACAGGCTCTGGCTGCAGAATGACAGCCTGTGGCTGGCACCAGCAGGTGACAGCTTTGTTCATGGGAACTTCGCACCTTCTGCTCACCCACTGCAAGGCACAAACCATGAGGCTGATTATGTGCACGGGGACACAGGAGGATGTGGGGAGGTGTGGTGGCTGTGATGGGAACTGCAGCTCTCTTTCACCTGGAAGCTCTGAGATGGTCATTATGAGGAAAGAAAGTATAATTGAATGTGAGGAGGAGGAGGAGGTGCTGCAAGAGCTGCTGCAGCTGCAGCCCCTTGGCTGTGTCACCAGTGGGTGCCCACAGAGCTGCTTTGTCAGCTGTGCTGTTGTTTCCCCCAGAATGTCAGGAAGCCTCCTGGAAAGGGGGAGCAGCTCCTCCCCATCACAGACACCCCCCACCCACAAGGCTCCAGCTTTGAGTCACCGGCTGCCACCCTCGGAGTTCTGCCATGATGATCCTGAACGAGTCGCCCCTGCCAACCTCTGCGCCCAGTTTCTGGTTTCTGGTTTCTGTTTCTGTCCACTGGATTTTGCTTCTCTGGCAAATCCCAGAGCCCTCTGCTATTGCAGTTCCTGCAGTTTAAGTGTTTATGAACTGACCTCTCTCAAGCTTCCTTTATTATTCCTGGAAATAAGCCATTTTTTTCCACTTTCACCTCACCCAGCTGGGGTATGAGATTTGTTTCGGTGTAAGCAAGGTAGAAATAGAAAGCTAAAATTATTCAAAGGAGAGGAGTGTAGGGAAGGATGTTATGGGGCTGCTGAGCCTTCACCCCAGGGATATAAACAGTGACAAGGGTTACCCCAGAAGCTTTCAAACTCCTTCAAGTTCCCCTGAAATCCTGCCCTTGCCTAGAGACACAAATTACAAAGCCAAAAACCCAGGGCAGGGTAACTGAGGGAACTTTGCCTGTGGGTAATGGTGAGGGCTGTCCCCGGGCTGGTGGGGGACTTTGTCAGCCTCCCCCTGGGGCACAGCTCACCTGTGGGGGCTACACTATCCCAGCCCTGGCACTGAAGGACCTTGGAGCACAGGAAGGAATATTATTCCATCCCTATTATTTCCTGTAGCCTTTTCTCCTCTTTCTGTAGGTCCACAAGTGGATGCAAGCTCTGAGGAGTGGGATGATTTGGGAGATGCTGGTGGCTTCACCTGGGGCAGAGGTGAGGTGCTCTGGGGGCCACAACACTGTTCCTCAGGTTATTCCTGACCAAGCCCAAGTCCCTTACTCCCACTTACAAACTGACCCCACCACGTTCCAACATGTGGCTGCACATCCCTGCATGGACCCCAAGAGATGCAGGAACCCTGGGACTATGGAGGGATGGGGATGCTGTGGCTGTGGAGGAGATGGGGGGATGCAGGGGAGGTCTGAGGGGGCTGTGGAAGGATGCAGGGCCATGAAGGGATGCAGGAGTGAGCAGTGCCAAAGCTCCCTGAGCCCTCCCCTCTGTCCCAGGGGATGCGGGTGCCAGGCACAGCCTGTGCTAGCTGGAGCGGCCAGACAATATCCCCTTTGATGGGCACAAACACATCTGGGGTAGCAAAACCCTCCACATTATGGGGGACAGGACCTCCACTTCAGAGAAACGCTGCTGAGCAGCCCAACCTCCAAACAGCCCCACACATGGGAAGTGGTTTTACAGCTTTGAATAAATTATGAGGCCAGTAAACACCAGTGCATGACCACAGCTGTTTACTGGCAGCTGCAGAGCTCACACCTCGCTGTGAGACTGGGGCTAACACCTCCCGTGGGGCTCCCACCTCCCCGCAGCGACACAGCCCTGCCAGGACCCTGCAGAGAGGGGCCAGCACTGGGCAAGAGAGCTCAGGGGCCATCAGTCCCCATCCCTGGAGGGGTTTAACAGATGAGTGGATACGGGACTTGGGGATCTAGGTTAGTGGTGGCCCTGGTAATGCTTGGAGGATGGTTGGACTTAATGACTTCAGAGGGCTTTTCCAGCATAAATGATTCTATGATTACAGAAGTCCTCCCACTGTGGCAATGGCCCTGACACAGGTTTAAAGGTTATCCCTGCCTCAGGGGAAGTTGTGGTTCTAACCTGTGGGGTCAGACAGACATCCCTGGGGCCACCTCCACCCATCCCACCCAAAAAGGCCTAGAAAGCTGCACAGCAAGAGCACCAATGAAAATGAAAACTCTTTGTGTCTTGTTTTTTTTTATTTTTCCTTGATTATAATGGGCAGGCAAGGTCCACTGGATTAATTAAAAGTGTGTTTGGTATTCATAGAATCAAAGAGTGGTTTGAGTTGGAAGAGACCTTAAAGACCACCTTGTCGCACCCTCCCTGCCATGGCAGGGACACCTCCCACTGTCCCAGGTGCTCCAAGCCCTGTCCAGCCTGGCCTTGGACACTTCCAGGGATCCAGGGGCAGCCCCAGCTTCTCTGGGCACCTGTGCGAGGGCCTCCCCACCCTCACAGGGAACAATTCCTTCTTCATATCTATTCTAACTCTACCCTGTTCTAGTTTCCATCCCAGCAGAGCTGTGAATTTTCAGTCTGGTCCTCCTTGCTCTCTCTGGGAGACTCAACAATGATCTGAACGAGGTGGGCAGAGGATGCAGCCCCAGCAGAGACACTTTGTCTAGTCCTCCCAGACATCTGGGGTTTGAGGGATGCTGAAGGGGGGTGGGCTGGGTATGTCCCAGCCCCTGGAGCCAGGGGCACAGCCCCACAGTCATCTCCCTAAGGCTCAAAAATTGCAAAAACTCAGGTTTTCCCTGTTTATTTCTTTTCTTTTCATGCCAAGAATGGAGAGGGGTGTGGAGCAAAGAGGCTTTTGTATTTCACTTTAATTTGCTTTGAAATACTGTACACTTCATCCTCTTTGGTTTGCTCTGCTTCAAAAGCAAAGCCAGGAAAAATCTGAGCCATCAGCCATTAGAAAGAAGAGCATTCCCTGGAATTTATTTTTTTTATTATCTTTTTAAACGCTGTTGCTGGAGAAGGATGGGACCTTTAGCAAGATACACATTTCTTATCAGCTATGACAAACTTCCTGTCCTGACACGCCTTTGGGGAAACACGAAATGTTTACTGTGAACCAGCCAGAGGTGACCGGCCAAGACGGCCGTGCTGGCCCCTGGACCCACCACACTGGAGACAGACGGTCCCCAGCCACTCCCACAGGCACAGTTTCTTACTGGAGTCAGTTCCAGGATATGACATCATCTAAAAAATTCCAACATTTCTACAGCAATGTCAAGAATGGTGGGGGTGAAATTTCTGGACACCGATGTAATGTCACCAGTGCTGGAGCTGGAGCAGGGCAGGATGGAGATGCTGCAGGGGTTGGTGGGTCTTGGCTTAGGGACAACTTCTGAACTCAGGACATTTTTAATTACTTGCTTTTCTGAGTGAATCCCAATTCCTCAACATTAAACCCTGCTACAAATAGCAACTTACATCAGCCAGTCTCACCATTTTTTTTCCAGGTTCCCCTTTCATTCAAGACAGAGAATTTCCCTATTTCTACTGTCAGGGAACTTATTTTGGGCATTTGCTTTACTTAGCACTTTCTCCTGGGATTTTTTGGGGGACTTGTAGAAAACCTCAGTCATATCCCTCTATGTAAAACAGGGCAACATCAGCCAGATTCCTTCAAATGGCAAATTCCACTGACTCCAAGCACTGCCTGCTAAGTCAAGAACTCTGAAACCACCTGATGGGAAAACTTCTTTCTTACACAACCACTTCACTTTGTAATTAAATTAATCCCCCCAGACATGATCCAGCCCACTTTTCCCACCCTTCCATGGCCATCTTCATGTCTCAAAACACCTCCCAAGGAAGATGGTTCCTCATCTGAGACAAATTCAACCTCCCTGCCTAAAAGGGGGAAGAGCTGGAAGAGATGACTTTCTCTTTTCCTCATCACTGGAATGTGAGAAGTGGGTAAGAAAACGTTTTTTAAGAGCATGTTGCAACATCCCAGAGCATCATTGGCATGAGTGTAACCTCCCACCTCCTCCAGCTGGCCACAAGTTGGCAGAGCAAGATTTTTTGTCAGATTTCTAAGGAAGAATTAGATTCCTAGAAACCAAGAAACTTGGCTTTGGGCTTATTTTTGGCTTTCAGCAGTAGAAAAGTTTCAGCCCTTACCAGTCCTCTGTAACACACATTACCTAAACTAAACTGATCCTAAACTGACTCAGGAAATTTTTGCTTTTATTTTCAAAATAGTCCCTGAGAGTCCAAAATAATTTGGCATGTACTTGCTGACAAAGAAATTAAGGCACAGAGGTGTCTGAGGAAAAACCTCCCATTGAAAATACTTGAAATAATCAAAGCAGATCCCCAAAAATTCTTCTGTTTTCATGAGATTCATCTTTTAGCAGAACATTTCTCCACATTTTGGCACCTTGTGCCTCAGGAGCAGGATGGGAGCAGTTGGCTGTAGGTGCTGGATCTCCAGCTGTAACCCATGGATGAGGCACAATCAGAAAGGACAGCTCAGAGGCAAACCATGCTCCTACAACCGTGTACAAGTTATATTCCTTGAGTTACCAGGCAGCATCCAAGGGAGGTGATGCTCACTCCCTCCCGGCCCAGCTGGCATCCATCGGAATGCCAAGTTCCCACCTCCTGCCTGGCTGGGCACCCTGCATGTGGAGGCAGGCTCTCTCCTCATCTGCCCAGGGTATTTGAGGACAAACAAGATGACAAACAGAGTCAATGGGATCTGGACTGATGAGCACCTGCAAGGTGCCTCTCTGCAAAGGGAAAGATGGAAACGGGCTAGATCAGCTATGGAAGGGGATGCTCAGCTTGGCAAGAGCCATATTTGCTCCACAGGGTAGATCTGCTCTCCTCAACCTCGGTGGAAGACACCACCACAGCTCCCAGCAAGAGCCTCCCTGAGGGGCTCCTGGCGACAAATATGGGGCTTCTCCTGTGCCTTGTCCTCTGGAGTCCTCACTGCCCACCTGGAGCATGGAGCTAACCCAGCATAGCTGGTGGAGGGCTGAAGGATATTGGGAAAACACCGGGTTATTTACAGAAGGTTCTGGGGCAGTAGCTGGAAACCTTTAATAGAAACAGGATGAGTCAGTGCTGCTGGGGGGAGTGCAGAGGTGCCAGGGTGAGCTTGGGCTGCTCCACTTTACATTATCAGCCTTCCACTGGTATTCAGGAAGTGTCTATCACAGTATCATTACTCCATGATGTCTTGAAAATAAAAAAATGAAGTAGAGAACAGATATCCTTCTAGGAACATCTCACTACAGCTGGACCGCCCTCAGCTCATCCCAGAGCACTCATCACCTCCCTGCCTGGCCTTCCCTCTCCTCCTCAGGGAGTCTGTCAGATCTCCAGGGCTCTCTGTGTAGAGGCTGGTGGCTTCTTCCCAGTGACCCATCCCTGTCTCAGCTCTTTCCCAGCCTTCACAGAGCTCCTACTCTCTGCCATACTTTGTACTGCTTCCCCCGTCTGTGGTCATTTTCTCTCATCAGCTGAGACAGGATACTCTTTTCTTCCCAACATCCCAACTTCTGCCCATGCTTTCACCCCACAGTTATTCTGCTCCTCATTTTCAGAATCACTGTTTCCTTCCTTACCCTGCTCCTGGAACTCCTTCTGCCTCATCTTCAGGGTTACAAGTCACCACACTTCTTTCAGCTCTCTGTATCTCCATGCCCAGGCTACCAGCAGCCCTTGAAATGTAACTATCATCTGTATTAACAAATGGTATAGTTAAATTGTAAATTAATGGCTTCTTATAGGACCTGGAGTGCATCAGGCAGTTCCAGGAGATAACAAGTAGCCTATCTCAGCTCTCCCTTCCCTTAAATTGAGGAGGAGCCTTGAGTGTTTTAGCTTCTCAGATGCCTCTTTCATGCCCACCACTACCTATGCCAGTGCCTGCAGCACTGTCACAGCTGCAGGACATGCCCTCCAACCATGGAGAACACATGCAGGACACTGGTGACAGCTCCCACCTTCTGCTCCTGGGGCAGCAAGAGCTTTGCAGATATGGAAGGGGAGAGAAGTCCATGGTAAAGGAGACTTCAGTCTCTTTTTCCCTAACCAGCCTCATCCCACTGATGATCCTGGGCCCTCCAGCACAGCTCTTGCACAGATACACTCTCCCAACCAGGAAGGTTGGGTAACAGCAGACTTAACAAATGCAGGAACCTCCACAGAGGAACTTCTTACTAAGGGACAGGCATGAGAGAAGCAGAAATAGCTACAGTGACTGTTTCATATCCTGTATCACTGGGGAGGCACTGAATCAATCAGGGAGCAGGGGCCAGGGCTGCTCTGTTCCATCACGAGACTGCACCACAAGTGGACTCCGGTGGAAATTCCACCATGCCTACGCAAGCCACTGCACAGACCTCTCACCCCATAAATTGAGGGGCTGCTGATGGTCTCAGCATCAGACAGCAAAGAGGCTTCCAAGCTACCCTTGCCTGCTCCAGCTCCAGCCACCACTTCTCCACTGACATGAAGGTGTCTGTGGTTGCCCTCGCCATCCTCATCGCTGCCTTCTGCCACCAGACCTCTGCTGCTCCACGTAAGTCCAGGCTCTCCCCACCCTTCCTAGGTGGGGACAGGAGAGATGTCGCTGCTGGGACAGCCCCTTCTGACAGCACTTCCACTCTGGGTCCCTCCCTCTGTCCCACCATCTTCTGGCAGGTGCTCCAGGGCTGCGGGACAGGCACAGCTCAAAGATCATTAGCATAAAAGTGAAAGGTCTTTTTTCCCTTTTTAGGGTAAAAGCACAACCATGCCTCCCACCTCTGCTATAGAGGTCAAATGTGGGCACCCTGAGGAAGGCTAGGGCTGGCCAGGTTTGGGCTGGGAGATGTTGCCTGCTGGCATGGGCTCTGTCAACGCCAGCTCAGAGTGAACCCAACAGGGAAAAAACTGAAGGAAGAAGAAAAAAGACCCCATCTTTTCTCTCCCTCTTCCACATCATCCCTAGACCCAAGGATGAGTGATCCCAGATCCCTGCCCTGTCCCTTGCCACTGCTCATGACTGTCTTTGCCCTTCACAGTTGGCTCTGACCCACCAACCTCCTGCTGTTTCTCCTACATCTCACGGCAGCTGCCCCGCAGCTTTGTGAAGGACTACTATGAAACCAACAGCCTGTGCTCCCAGCCTGCCATCGTGTAAGTCACTCCTCCGGGGCAGGGGTGCTTTTGGGCTGAGGAGCCAGGGAGGGAAAGGCCCCTTTTCCAAAGCCAGTGAAGGAAGGCTGGGGAAGACAAGAAATACAAGGTGATGCTCGGAGCACAGAAGCCCCACACTGGTCCTCCTCTACCCCTTTGCAGATAAAACTGGTGGCTGCTGGCTAGGATGAGCAAGGCATGGAGCTGCTCATCCTTGGGAGAGGCTGGGTTTGGGCAAGGCTCTTGTCCCAGCCCTGGAAGTGTCCAAGGCCAAGCTGGATGGGGCTTGAAACAACATGGCATAGTGGAAGGGGTGGAACTGGATAAGCTTTAAGGTATCTTTCCAAAAGATACCAGGTATCAGCCCAAACCATTCCATAGTTCCATGATTCTGTGATTCTCCATTCAGTGCTCTCCCACCAAAAACTGACCTCCATGCATCCCACAGGTTTATCACCAGGAAGGGCCGGGAAGTCTGTGCCAACCCCGAGGACAACTGGGTCCAGCAGTACGTGAATGAGCTGGAGTTAGACTGAGGTCCTGGACAGACCCAGCTGCTCCATTTCCCCCGCTGCTGGGATGGACAAACATGACCAGCTGGGATCCATTGGAAGTGCTTCAATGTCATTTAGAGCTAGCAGAGAAACTGAAAACATTCCAAAATCCAACTTAATATTGTGCTATTTAATTTTTTTATAGGGGAGGGACCAGGTGCAATTACTCCGAGATAAAAAATAATTTTATTTTATATATATATATATATATATATTTGGTTCTTTTACCTGTAGACTCGGGTTATATTTTCTGTATTTAAGTAAGTACATTTTTGACATAAAATTCAATTCAGATGTCAATAAATAAATATTTTTGTAAGAATCTTCTGTGTTTGCCTCCATTACAATCCTTTGGGATTACAGTAGCTGAAATTATAATAGTGACAACAAGTTCTTTATTTCCTTTTCCACATTGGCAAAACTCCTATAAGCTTTCTGTAACTGAACATCCTGTTTTGCAAATAACAAGAAAAGCCATGAAAGAGGAGTCGTGAGAAGGGTAGAAATTACATTCAGGTAATTTGTCTCAAGCTTTTTATAAGGTATTTAATCTCCATTCATTATGACAACTGGAAGCTCATTAAATTCTGATGCTGGCTCCATTATAGCCAATCAAAATATTACCTTTAGGTAATTTAACACATTGTCTGTTTTAGGGAAAGCTTTCTGAGAGCTATAGCTAAAATGGCTCAGCTGTTTCCAGAGCTGAGGGTGAAAAAAATATGTTTCACTGCAAGTATTTTAGAATTATCTCATTAAGCTCTCATTTAGCTGGGACATGAAGCTTAGCAGGTATTTCCTCTCAGTAATACCTTGACTCCAAAACCTGCTTGTCTCTGGACATGCCTGTTCAGAGATGACCATACCAGACCCCAGCCCAGGGCAGGACCTGCCCCTGCAAGGAAATATCTCCCCATGTCTCCTTCTGGAGCTGAAAGAGATGGAGCCCACTTTAGTGAAGTTATTTCCCACATCCCTGATGGCATTTCCCACACCGCTGATGGTATTTGGAATGCTGTGATCTGCTCTGAACAGGCTCTGTTGGATCAGCAAGGAGGATTTGGGTTCATCCTGCCTGGCTCTCTGGTGCAGTCCACACAAAAATGCTCAGCTCACTCCACTGCATTTTCATACTGATTTGAGATTTCAAATATAAACACCTATGGGACACAGGGGAGCAGAGCAGGAGGCAGCTCGGGGGAGGCACGACCTTGAGCTGACACAGAGGGTGGATGGGGAGCAGGGAGAGGAGGCTCAGGTGGGGCTGGGAGGGATCAGGGGGAGTGCAAAGTGCCTTCCCAAGACATGGCACACAGTGGATGTCTGTGTGCCAGATCACACAGAAGCCAGAACCATGTGAGAATCCTGCGAGGACACTCACCAGGGCACTGAGGTTTTTCCCTAGTAGTGCCCCACTCATGGGGAGAAGCTGGTTGTGTTCCCAGGTCTCTGCCCATCAGTGACAAACCAGGGCAGCCACTCTCACAGAATGATGCATCCAGTCCCCTGTGGGTCCCTGACCCAGGAGATCACCAAGGGTTCTGCATTTCTACCCCCCAAAAAGGCACCAAGGAAAAAAAGGGGCCGGAGATTGCCTGAGAATTTGTCAGTGAAGGTGTAAATGTGGGAGCGGTCGCTTACGTTGTAGAAGGAGATCTCTCCTGCCTCATAGTCCAGGAAGATCCCAATGCGCCGGGGTCTCACGCTCAGGGTCAGGGGGCAGACGGGTACAGTCAGGGCCTCGTAGGTGCCCCCGTTTTGCAGCTGCAGCACCCAGTAGCCATTGTTGGGGGAGAAGAGGACAGAGCCTTTCCGGACAGCAGCCTCCCGGCACAGCCCCAGGCCCCACTCGGGCTTGTCTCCCACCTGCACCTCCCAGTAGTGGCGGCCCGAGAAGAAGCCCGGACTGCCCAGCACCACTGGGGCAGTGCCAAACCTCTTGGGGTTGTCAAAGAGGGACAGAAGCAGCTTCTTGCTCCCACGCCGGACACTCTTGCGGTCCTCAGAGACAGTGAGGTCTGGGTGCGCCGTCTCTGGGTCCAGAATCACGTCCACTGGAGAGAAAGAAGGGTGGAAGATGGACAAGACTTCAGGCATATGCAGGCATAGACACAAGCAGGTGCCTGTGACCTGGACGCTGGGCTCTCCCAAACCATTCCACATCATGCAATTATTTGCTTGTGGTTTTGCACAGCTCCCAGCACTTCCTGGCAGTGAGGAAGTGCAATACAGAAAATCAGACATGTCAAAATATTTGGTGTCAGGCTGCAGAGCCAGGGCAGAATGAGGGCAGTTCCACAGCTTCAGAAAGAGCCAACACTGAAAGCAAGAGGTCATGAACAACACGGTGCTTGAAACCCCTGAGGGACAATCTGGGCTTCAGGGTCCCCTCACAATCCATTCAAGACCACAACAAAGGTCTTCATGAAACCAGTCTGAACTCATCAGGGCACAAACTGGGAGCAGCTGGACAAAGCTTGTTAGAAAAACCTCCCTGTGCCCCAGGGTTCTGGGGGAAACCAGAGCTCAAATGTGCCAGGAGCTGTGCCCTCACCTTTGAACCTCTTCAGCATGTCCCTCATGCCCAGGCAGCGCTCAGGAATGCTGTAGTTTTCCTTCAGGGTCACAGACACACCCTTGGTGGATTGGAACTTTACCCCTTCACACCTGGGAAGAGAGGGATGCCCATGGGCTGTATTCAGAGCCTGCACCATGGCCCCTTTCTGGCTGGGAGGGGGGTTAATGCCCTTCTCTTGGCTCCATAGATCCAGTGCCTCCCCGGAGCTCTGGCTGGGAAGAGCACTACGGATAATTGCTTGCATATTGGCAATCCAAATGAGATCAGTGTTAAATGATACAGGGAGCAGCAGTGCCAGGTAGGGCAGGGCAGGGCAGGGCAGGGCAGGGCAGGGCAGGGCAGGGCAAGAAGGCAGGAAGGAAGGAAGGCACTGGGTAGCATGTCCCTTAGGAGGGGACACAGCTCACATGTCACAAGCCAGGCAAGACTGTCTCTGAGCTCCTGGAAAAAGAGGATGGAATCTCTGAGGGATTGTCTCAGTCCCTCCTGTGTCTACCCCAGGAGGACCAAAGCAGATGCTGGGCAGGGAGGATGGGGTAGTTGTTGTGGAACAGACACAAACATCTGCCTCAAAGCCTGGAGGCAGCTAGGACAGTAGGAGGAACAACCATGATGCCTGCTCGAAACAACCATGGGTACTTGCCAGGAATGATCATGGGTACCTACCAGGAATAATCATGGCACCTACTGGGAAAAATCACCCACCTGGTCAAGATGCTTTTCATGTCCTAGAAAAAGACAAAAACAACTCTGGGTTTGTCTGGGCCAAGCCACCTACCCAGGTGACAAAGGCACCAGGGCTGAGTTAGTGGTGCTGGTGGCAAAGCCTGACCTTGAGCAGCCCATCAGCTGGCTGCTGGCTCTTCTCCTTTATCTCCAGGATCAGCTCCTCCAGCAAGCACTTCTCCTCCAATAGCCTGGCCAGGTTTTCGTTGATCAGAAGCAGAATCTGCTTTTCTTCCTCCTCCAGCTTCTGGAGCAGTAGCTTCTCCTCATCAGCCAGCAGCCGATGCAGCTTCCCAAACTCACTTACAATCCTCTCCCGCTTTTTCTTTACTGTCTCCTTGGGATAAGAAGATTCATGGGGTGAACGTTATCCAGGATGCTGAGTCGGATGCTCAGCATCCATGCCCAGCATCAGGCCATGCGAAAACACTGCATTTTTGTGATAAGTGCATGAATTTAAAAACCAGCAAATTTGTGCTTCCACCTCACTGGAGTTCCCACTTCACATCCTCAGTTTACCAGCAGCAGGACTTTGCCTGGGGCATTTCTGCTCAGCTGGACCCCAGATGTCTGGGATGTGTTGGGCTGCAAGGAGATGTTGGGGTAGGTTTTTATTACAACTCATACCTCCAGCCAAATCCAGGCTAATGAACTGCTTGGGCAGGTGGACAATGCTGGAAAAATCTCCAGTAAAGGGCAAGAGGTGGAAAAATCATAAAATCATGGAATGGTTTCAGTTGGAAGAGATCTTAGATACCATCTGCTTCCACACTCTGCCACAGGCAGGGATACCTTCCACTAGACCAGATTGCTCCAAGCCCAATCTAGGCTGGCCTTGGACACTTCTAGGGATGGGGTTGCCAAAACTTCTTCAGGCATCCTGTGTACCCTCAGCACCCTCACAAGGAGGAACTTCTATCTAATCTAAATCTCTCCTCTTTTAGTTTAAGACAGTTCCCTCATGTCCTGTCTCTATCTGCCATGTAAAGAAGCCATGGGGCTGTGGAAGGATGGAAAGGCAGAGCACAGAAGCTTCCCTGGGTCTTGCTAGAAGGTGAAGAGCCAGCAATTGGCAGGGTCTGCCAGTGCTTTAGAGTTTTTCACTTCATCCGTAGAAACTGTCTGGAAATCTGGAGCTGCAGAAAGACACTCTGAGGTGAGCTTGGGACAGGAAACCTCAGAAGAAGATAAAGGAAAGGAAGTTGAACTCCATTTTTTTTCCCATCCAAGTACAGCATTCCTCGGACCTGAGTCATGAAGATTTGATAAGCCAGGACAGCCTCTTCCCACCACCATACACAAGCGACTTTTTGCTTTTTTTTCTGCAACCAGAGAAAGCTGGAGGCAGCTGGGCCATAGCCCTGAGCCTTGACTCCAGTGGATCAGAGGACAGTGACATAGCTCTCACAATCTCTGTCCCTCTGCTCCAATGCGGACAGAGGGCTCATAGGTACAGCCTCAAAACCCACTGCCACTTGTCTGGACTGACACAGGCAAGGGAGCTGAGCGAAAAACTAGGGGAGTTCAGAGAAACCTGCCTTCCCTGCCAGAAGTGATTAACCATCATCTCAAATTCAGGGCTGGATAACTCATCCAGCATTTCATTTCCTTTTCTTCAGTTACTTTTACTTTCCAGCTTTCATCCCACAGGACTTGAAATGCAGCTGTGTGCTGGCATCTGCTCTTCCCAGAGCTGTCTGAAGTCAAGCAGAGGTGCAGTAATTAAGCTTTTTTTTTCTTATAAAAACACTTCTGATTCCTGTTGCTGTGGAGTAGAGCTCACCACACAGCTCATGCCTGGCTTGGAACTCAAGCACATGTAAAACAAAAGGCAATAAAAAATAGCCCATGTTTACTTGTTTAACCAGCATAAAGTCATCGTGATTCCAGGGAACCTGGCATACTGCTCCTTGCAAACTTTTTTATGGAGCCATACATGGTTACTGAGCCTGGCTTCCAGCATTGCTCCTACAAGTGACAGCAGGACACAGGGACACAGCCTGGAGAAAATGATAAATCTGTGTCCCCACACAAGACTATTCAGGGTGGGATTTTTTTTTTAATCCTGATATCTCTGACGCTCATTCTTTAAGAATTAAGACAGGCACCTGCCTTGCACTCCTGGGTTTTCATCCTTTCTGCTGACTCACGCTTCTTGACCTCCTCCACTTCCTGTGAAAGGTTCTCCAGGGATTTCTGGAGTTTGACCTGGAAAGGGGAAAAATGGGCTCAGCTCACCCCAGCCTGCTGAGCACTGCAGGTTGGCTGGGTCCCCTCTCCCTGGGGGGAGACACTGACCCGGTGCCAGGCGGTGCCAGCACTGACACACAAACCAAGCAGCTGTGCTCTTCACTCCACTCGCAGTTAACCCTTCCCACGCACCTCAGGTTTCCCCTATGTTTTTCCTCACTATTAGGGTTCTGGAGACCAAAGTGGAGGGTGGCACTGCCAGGATCATAGCTGGGATGTGGCGTTTTGGTGCCAGCATCCTTCCATCGAGGCAAAAAATGTCCACAGGAATCCACCAGCTCAGCTTCTGCAGGGGTTGTGAATGGGCAGGGAGCCAGGCTGCCTCCCTGAGCTGGACGGACAGGGTTAGCCTGGGTCCATCAACAATTCGGAAGATAATGTGGTCCAGCCTTAACCCTGCAGCGAGGGCGGCTGGAGGGGGCCGTCACCGTCTGCAGCACCCCTTCTGCTTTCTCAGCGGTGCCACAGGGTGTGTTGGGGTGTGTATGGGGGGTATGCACACCCCATGCCGGAGTGCTGCGGGGCAGGACAGGGGTCCCGGTGTCCCACCCTCCCCTACCTTGTAGACGTGCACCGCCTCCTCGATGGGGTACACGGTGTGCGGGCGGTGCTGCACGGACTCCCGGCACACCACGCAGATGGGCTCCTCATCCTCCTCGCAGAACAGCTTCAGGCGCTCGTCGTGCTGGGGGCACAGGGGGACCCCCGGCTCCAGCTCGGGCCCCAGCTGCCGGATGCTCTCCACAATGTTGGCTAGCTGCCGGTTGGGTCTGAAGCCGCTGCGGTGGCAGGAGGCCCGGCACTGCGGGCAGGAGAAGGGCCCGTCGGCCCACAGCCCCTTGTCCTGGCAGTGCTTGGCGATGCAGCCCCGGCAAAAGTTGTGGCCGCAGTCGATGCTGACCGGCTCGTTCATGTACTCCAGGCAGATGGGGCAGGTGGCCTCCTCCTGCAGCCGCCCCAGGGCACCTGCCAGCGCCATGCTGGCCCGCTGCTCTCGACGGGCACTTGCCTCGCCCCTCGTCAGCCAGCAAAGGCGGGCTCGCAGGCAGGCACGGCTGGCACACCCCCACGGCGAGCAAGTACCGGCGGTGCCATGAAAGCCTGGAGGACGAGCCGGCCTTGCTGCCGGATAGCACCGGGCTCGGAGCCTCCGTGTTCCGGGGGGAGGAGCTGGCACCGGCCGGGACAGCTGCAGCCAGCCCCAAAGGCTGGGACTGCCTCCAGCCCGGCGGGGCAAAGCCGGAGAAAAACTCCGCGGGGAGAGCTGGACAGATTAGGTAGCACCAGAAATAACCCGTGGCCAGGGACAGCCCCTGGACGGTGGTGGAGGTGGGGTCGGGTTTGGTGTTGGCTGAGGTCAACAGACCGTGGAACCCCTTTGGCATCTGCCTGCTGCCCAAAGACGTTGGCCAAGGTCAGGGACCCCTCGCCACGCCAACAATTGTGCCAAAACATCCCCCGTGACATCCACCCACTGCAGAGAGCCAGGAGCTTGGGAATGTGCCGGGGGCAGGAGGGACAGGCAGGATAAGTGCTCTCCCATGCATTCACAGAGGGGCTGGGGGACAGCCAGGTGTCACCCCATCACCCACACACCCTCAAGTGTCAGCCCTGACCCCTTTCCAGCCACTGCTAAGCACCTCAGTCTCTGTGGAGCATCCCAAGAACTGCTGGGAGAAGTTGCAAGTTTTACTCCTTTTTATTATACAAAAATAATTTCAACACATTCAGTACAAAGGAGAATGAAAAGTTTCACTGAAAATGTCAAATAAATTAAGACTGCCTTTGCACAACCTTCAATAAAAGAGCTAAACACTGAGTTGGATACCCTGCCAAATTCCCAGGCAATGAGAAAATGGAATAGATCTCAGAGGTGTCCATGAGAGCAGGTCCTTGCAGAAGTGATGCTTGGAGAGAGAAGAGTATTGGCTAGGGAAGAAAAGGATGTGACTCTGCTCTTCAGTAGTCAGGAGGAGCTACACCAGGCCTCAGCCTAGTGGTCCCTTGCCATGGGCTCCAGGAGCAGGATGTTCCGAGTGAGGTGGAAGGTTGGAGAGGTCCAGATCACAAGGATACCACTGTCCTTTGTCTAGTGCCCTCCTTTGATCTTCCTTTCCTCCATCTCTATTCAGTAATGATGTAATTTCTTCAATTATTAATCACCTCACTGTAATAGTGGCTGAATCAAACCCATTAAACCTCCCTTGGGAGCTGCTCCAAGGAAGGAGGCAGGTTTCCAGAAAGTACATTAAGGAGAATTCACACAGGCAGTTGAGACAAGCCACAGTGGGAGGAATGGCCTTGCTGCTCTGTGCATTTCCTATCAGCTGGGATTTGGTATCTAATGCACAGGGACTGGGAAGGCCCATGATGCAAACAGCCTGTCACACACCCTGCTGGGCAGCTCCAGGAGGGTCCTGGTGTGGCAATTATTTCAGCTGAAAAGTCACAAAAGAGAGTTATGCTGGGAGAATTGCTTATACAAGAGGTCCTGACAGCCCACATCCTAAACAGCTGCCCCATCACCCCAGCAGTGTTTTGCACAGTTCCTCCCCACCTGGAGCAAAGTCACTGATTTGTTATGATCTGCTTTTAAGCTGGCATGACCCCAGCACGGCCCAATTGCCATATCTGGGTATTCAGGTTTCAGTCCCTTCACAAAAAAAGTAATTTCTCCCAATACTGCAGAAATGTTACAAGTGAGAAATTCGCCTCTGGAATAGGATGGTATTCCTGGTCAAAATTACAGGAGTCAGCAATTCACCAGGTTGAGAGAATCCTGGAATGATTTGGGTTGGAAGAAACCTTAAAGCTCATCCTGTCACTGAAACAGCAGGAAAAACAAAACCTCTCCAACAATTTTTAGTGTTAGAGAACTCAAGCATTACTTTATTCTGGCCAGGATGTGCAACAGAAGTCATTTCATCCACACACTGCCTGGGTTGTGCAAAAAAAAAATCACTCCATCACACATGTCTCTTTTCTAGCTTTTTCACATACTTATACAGTCAAAACACAGAGAACTTCATTGGTTCAATGTTTATTGGTCCCAAGTCACACAGTTCTCACTATTTGGTTCGCTGTTGGCTATTGATCCCGTCACTTTCGATGCTAATCAGGTTCTCATTCTTCTCTTATGATCTTTTCCCAGACCAGGTGTCTCTGACACACCAGGAAGGATGTTCAGGTGTTGATGTTTGTTAATGGTCACTTATCTCTTGTGCATCCTCTGGCAACTCCCAATCCATTGAGAAGTTAAGCTCATCATACCTTGCCCAAGAAACAGTCTCTTGAAAAGAAACTTCCATTCCCTTCCCTCTGGGCAAAGATGAACAAAACCCCTGACTAAAGTTAGTTTAAAATTTTAGAAGTTGTATCATTTCCAATAATCCTGTTCTACCCCCTGCCATGGGCAGAGACACCTTCCACCTGACCAGGCTGCTCCAAGCCCCGTGCAATGTGGCCTGGATAACTCCCAGGGATGGAGCAGCCACAGCTTCTCTGGGCAACCTGTGCCATGGGTTCAACCACCCTTACAGTCAAGAATTCCTTCCCGATATCCAGTCTAACCCTACACAAACCTCTGATCAGAGTGACGGGACCAGAGACACAGGCTCAGATCAGGTTATGCTAAAGCAGTCCAGTTGTTCAGGGGAAGCAAAATCCTTCTCTCACATCTCCTATCTCCTTTTTCAGACACCTGTAACCACATTTTGCCCCTCTGCCAATGCTACAGCCTTCTTTCTGTACTCTGCCAGCTGTGCCTGCAGCATCCTCTTCCAGAGCTCCCACCCACGGCCTGGATCCCACAAACGAAATGCCCCACACAACCTCTCCGCAGGCTACCGGGGCCCTGCTCGCGCTGACCGACGGCGGAGCCGCCTCCCCACCCCTACCCAGGAGGGCTGGGGAGCCCTGAGCTA